GAATCAGAAACTAAAAACTGCGAATCAGAAACTAAAATCCCGCGAATCAGAAACCAAACTCCCGCGAATCAGAAACAAAAATCCCCCGAATCAGAAACCAAAAACCGCGAATCAGAAACCAGAAACAGAAAATCAGAAACTATGTTGATCCGCCACTATGTTGAATACGATATTACCTTCTACTTCACTTCATAAGAAATCAAATCCGCCACCCCCTCTGGCCACTATGTTGAATAGGATATTACCTTTTACTTCACTTCAAAAGAAATCAAATCCGCCACCCCCTCTGGCCACTATGTTGAATAGGATATTAACTTCAACTTCATAAGAAATCAAATCCGCCACCCCCTCTGGCCACTATGTTGAATACGATATTACCTTCTACTTCACTTGAAAGGAAATCAAATCCGCCACCCCCTCTGGCCACTCTGTTGAATAGGATATTACCTTCTACTTCACTTCAAAGGCAATCAAATCCGCCACCCCCTCTGGCCACTATGTTGAATAGGATAGTAACTTCAACTTATCTTCATAAGAAATCAAATCCGCCACCCCCTCTGGTCACTATGTTGAATAGGATATTAACTTCAACTTATCTTCATAAGAAATCAAATCCGCCACCCCCTATGCGCACACATACTCGTAGATAGGATATGTGACCTGATTACTCTCCTTCAAAGGCAATCAAATCCGCCACCCCCTCTGGCCACTATGTTGAATAGGATATTACCTTCTACTTCACTTCAAAAGAAATCAAATCCGCCACCCCCTCTGGCCACTATGTTGAATACGATATTACCATCTACTTCACTTCAAAGGAAATCAAATTCGCCACCCCCTCTGGCCACTATGTTGACTAGGATATTACCTTCTACTTCAACTTCACTCCAAAGGAAATCAAATCCGCCACCCCCTCTGGCCACTATGTTGAATAGAATACTACTTTCTACTTCAGTTCATAAGAAATCAAACCCGCCACCCCCTCTGGCCACTATGCTACATAGGATATTAATATTAACTTCAACATATTTTCTTAAGAAATCAAATCCGCCACCCTCCTCTGGCCACTATGTTGAATAGGATATTACCTTCTACTTCACTTCAAAAGAAATTAAATCCGCCACCCCCTCTGGGCACTATGTTGAATAGGATATTAACTTCAACTTATCTTCATAAGAAATCAAATCCGCTACCCCCTCTGGCCACTATGTTGAATACGATATTACCTTCTACTTCACTTCAAAGGAAATCAAATCCGCCACCCCCTCTCGCCACTCTGTTGAATAGGATATTACCTTCTACTTCACTTCAAAGGCAATCAAATCCGCCACCCCCTCTGGCCACTATGTTGAATAGGATATTACTTTCTACTTCACTTCATAAGAAATCAAATCCGCCACCCCCTCTGGCCACTATGTTGAATACGATATTACCATCTACTTCACTTCAAAGGAAATCAAATTCGCACCCCCTCTGGCCACTATGTTGACTAGGATATTACCTTCTACTTCACTCCAAAGGAAATCAAATCCGCCACCCCCTCTGGCCACTATGCTGAATAGAATAATACTTTCTACTTCACTTCATAAGAAATCAAACCCGCCACCCCCTCTGGCCACTATGCTACATAGGATATTAACTTCAACATATTTTCTTAAGAAATCAAATCCGCCACCCCCTCTGGCCACTATGTTGAATAGGATATTACCTTCTACTTCACTTCAAAAGAAATCAAATCCGCCACCCTCCTCTGGCCACTATGTTGAATAGGATATTCCCTTCTACTTCACTTCAAAGGAAATTATCCGCCACCCCCTCTGGCCACTATGTTGAATAGGATATTAACTTCAACTTATCTTCATAAGACATCAAATCCGCCACCCCCTCTGGCCACTATGCTCAATAGGATATTACCCTCTACTTCACTTCATAAGAAATCAAATCCGCCAACCCCGTCTGGCCACTATGCTACATAGGATATTAGCTTCAACTTATCTTCTTAAGAAATCAAATCCGCCATCATAAGAAATCAAATCCGCCACCCCCTCTGGCCACTATGTTGAATAGGATATTAACTTCAACTTATCTTCATAAGACATCAAATCCGCCACCCCCTCTGGCCACTATGCTCAATAGGATTGATGAACAGGTTTTAGTTTCCGATTCTTTTGGTTTCCGATTAGCAGGTTTTAGTTTCCGATTCACCTGCTTTAGTTTACGATTCAGCTTTGGTTCCCGATTCCGGGTTTTTGGTTTCCGATTCAAGGGTTTTAGTTTCCGATTCACGGGTTTTAGTTTCCGATTATTTTAGTTTCCGATTAACAGGTTTTAGTTTCCGATTAACGGGTTTTAGTTTCCGATTAACGGGTTTTAGTTTCCGATTAACGGGTTTTAGTTTCCGATTAATGGCTTGACCATATGCCAGATAGAATGCCAGAAGATATGCCAGATAGAATGCCAGATAGAATGCCAAATCGAGCTTTACAGCAACTCTTGCGCCCCCAGTGTAGAATCCACAGGGCCACGATATTTGTTGGAATCCGCTCTGGCTGCCAACTCTTCAACCTCTTCTTCATCCAACTCTTCCACAGGCGCGTCAACAAAAGTCTTTTGCAACACTTCGGGCGTCTCACCATCAATCCACTCTTCTACATCAGCTTTTCTGCAAATTGCCGCTTGGTGGCAAGGTGGGCGCTTGTTCTACGATGGTGGTAACGCCATCGAGTCCAAATGCAGAGTGCGACCGTTCCCAAGGATTCTTGCTGTTGGCCGTAAAAAATACCTTGGTGAGAATTACCCTGCGCAAAGGCAACAACATTCTGTGCCCATATGGCATCCTGCGCATCAACTCTGGGTGTCACCCGAGCCACTTTCCGTTAGCCAAAGCTCGCACAGGCATTTCAGGTGGGTTTTTGATCAAACACCGCCTACATTCTTTGCACAAAGGAGCTTGTTCCTCGCCTGTGCACATGCGTTTCGTCACACGACGTTTGTGTAAAAGCATTTGGACTTTATCACCTGTTTGCAACAGAACAGTTGGACAAGACTTGAAGACTTCTTCCGATGGCACCTCTGGCCAAGTTGACACATACAGCTTTGGGTCTAATAGCAAACAAACTTTATCTTCTTTCTGAAACTCAGTCTTCGCACCAGCAATGAAAGTCGGAATGAGTTCCTCTGACCAACGTCTTTCAGCACACACTACACATGCGACAAATCGCCGGGGTCCCCATCTCTCATCTCGCTGCAAACCCTTCCCCAGACTCAGCTTGTCATGCATGTGCGTAGTGAAGTTGTTCCAATCTGTGCCAGAAGATATGCCAGAAAGAATGCCAGAAGATTTGCCAGATAGAATGCCAGAAGATATGCCAGAAGATATGCCAGATAGAAGCCAGATTGAATGCCAGAAGATATGTCAGATAGAGTGCCAGAAGATATGCCAGATAGAATGCCAGAAGATTTGCCAGATAAAATGCCAGAAGATATGCCAGAAGATATGCCAGAAGATATGCCAGAATATTTGCCAGAAGATATGCCAGATAGAATGCCAAATAGAATGTCAGAAGATATGTCAGATAGAATGCCAGATAGAATGCCAGAAGATTTGCCAGATAGAATGCCAGAAAATATGCCAGAAGATATGCCAGATAGATATGCCAGAAGATATGCCAGAAAATATGTCAGAAGATATGCCAGAAGATATGTCAGAATATATGCCAGAAGATATGTCAGATAGAATGCCAGAAGATATGTCAGAATATATGCCAGAAGATATGCCAGATAGAATGCCAGAAGATTTGCCAGATAGAATGCCAGAAGATTTGCCAGATCATATGCCAGAAGATATGCCAGATAGAATGCCAAATAGAATGTCAGAAGATATGTCAGATAGAATGCCAGAAGATTTGCCAGCAAGAAAATGTATAAATGTCATGGTGGGGATCACACGAAGTAAAGTAATTTGATTTTCCATAGTTATGTAAACGTTTACCAGAGGGTAAGAATTTTGTCTGAAAAAGATAAGACCTGGTTGGTGGTTGAGCCTACCCCTCTGAAAAATATGAGTTCGTCAGTTGGGATGATGACATTCCCAATATATGGAAAAATAAAATATAAAATTCATGTTCCGAACCACCAATCAGACACAGTTGCTTTGTTCTTATAGAACAATTCAATGGTATTTACTGTAATCATCGATCAACACGTGGGTTCCTCAAGGTTTTAACATAGAACAACTGAAAACCATGGAAAACCCAGAAAAATATCGTGGGGATATAATGGGGATATAATGGCATAATATGTATGTGTGTATATATATATATACATATATATGGTCAAATTATAATATTTCAGGGTCTTTAGGTCGAATTTCGCTATTTCAAACTGAAATATGGTGACGTCGCGAAAATCGCGAAAATTTGCTGACGTCGTGGGACTAGGATGAAAGCAGGCACTCTGACAGGCGCTTTTTTTTTTGCTCATCGGTGGCATCGCTTGGCTAAAGTCAAGTCAGAGACAAAAATTGTCCTGCTGCGGGCTGTTGAACGGAGCCTCTTCACCAGTCTCTTCCTGCGAGGCCGGGAAGTCGCAGAAAACTGCCGGCTAGTCAGGGGAATCGAGGCTACTTAGGGGGGAATCAAGCCCAGGAATTTCTAACGACGTCGTTTTTGGCATTTTCGGGGCTGAAAATGCCAAAAACGACGTCGTTAGAAATTCCTGGGCTCGATTCCCCCCTGGGTAGCCTCGATGCCCCCCTGGCTTGCCGGCAGAGACTTCCCGGCCTCGCAGGAAAAGAGTGGTAAAAGGCCTTTCAACAGCCCGCTGCTGCAGGACAGTTAGTTTGGGATGGAGTCGAACCATGCAGTCTTAGAATACTACTTATGGGGACTAACGATGATTGTTGTAATTCTTGATTTGAGGTGTTGTAAATACGCAGCCCCTTAATTTCATACGAGTGTGTTGAACAATACTGCGTGCTGGGATATACTAGTCGGATAGTGGGACCAGTGATGGTTGTTGTAATTCTTAACTTGGGGTAGACATGAAAGACCTTATTTCAGCAGGTTAGGTCTAATTTCACGGTGACGTCGGGTGACGTCGCTATAATTTTAAATATATATATATATATTATAACATATTATAACCACCAATATGACCATACGGGTTTGTCGGAAAACGGGGTAGACCTCCCAAATGGCAATCTTTTCACTGGGACAATGATGAAAAACCAATTGATTTAGGGCTAGCCTATGTTCAGATTCAACATGATTTAAGACACCAATATATTGGTGGATGAATAGTGCCGATTAATGATCTACAACATGGCTAACATGGCTTTTAAGCTCATAAATAGTGGAATTTCCTAGGTATACATACTATGTGTTTAAGCTTAAACATAGCCTCCACCATGGGCAATGTTTAGGAAGTTATGATGAAACCCTAAAGAAATGATGGGCAACTTGGTTTCAGCAAGCTGGGTAATGGCTATGTCCAAGTTTAAGCCAACAGTTGTGGTTTCCTTCGAGTATTACCATCTGGTTATTTAACATAGCCATGGAAAGATCCACCATTTTTAAGAACGGTAAACCATCGAACTAAATGGGTTATGACTAACATAGCCATGGAAAGATCAACCCATTTTTAAGAACGGTAAACCATCTATTTCTAGGGTACCTGGTTTTTGGGTAAACCCATGGTGCTTCGGTTCGTCTGGTCATCCAAAACTAGGTTTCTCATCTTATGTGTTTCAAATGGGGGGAAAACTTTGTCTTTCCCATCTTTGTTGGGGTTTAAATATTTTAAATCAAAAGGTAAATCCGGACTTCTTCCAACACCTAGAGGCAGAGGGGGGGGCAAATTGGCTAAGTAAAGAGGCAACCTGGTAACCCCCTTTTGGCATCATTTGCCTATATATATATATATGTATGTATGTAAGTATGTATGTATATATATATAATGGCTTGGACCGACCCTGAAATATTGAATTATTTTGTGCCCATCGACTACACTACACTCATGGAGATAGCATCAACAGAGACGTATTGTGCAATATATCTGGCACCAGTACTCTGGAATAACAACGGATATCACAAACACTTCATTTCGGAGTTAAACTCAACTTGTATTACCCTCTGGTTATTTAACATAGCCATGGGAAATGGCCCATTTATAGAGGTTTACCTATTTTAAATGGTGATTTTCCATGGCTATGTTAAATAACCAAATGGTATAGATATTGATGATTTTCAAACCGTCCCGCCCCGCTGAAAAGTCTTCAACCGCAGTAACAAAAACTCATCAGAATTTCACCAGCTACACCAGCAGTTTAAACTCAACAGCTCCAGATCATACATGTGTGTCTGGAAACGGGGTGTACCTCTTCTAATATGGCCATAAGAAAATATGGAACATGCCGCTTTCAGCACATTTTTGTGGAAAATTCCCAACAAATATCAGGCCAAACACCACAAAAAAAAACAAGTACACCACCCGTCTAGGGTTGCCGGACCCGCACTCCGTTTCCACTTGATGTTTAAACATAATGGCTCAAACCGCCGACGCCTCCGACCTGCGTGACTTGTTGGAGCGGCGCTGCTGTGTGCTGGTTTTCACAGATATCCTGTATATATATATTAATATTAATATTAATATTAATATTAATATTAATATTAACAAATTGACAAACACACACACATATATATATATGTATAATTATGTATATATGATCATATGGTTAAATGGATGGTTGACTTAAAATGTATCTATCTGGATATATTCACAGTTTGAGTTTATAAGCAAAGTCCTCACTCTGGGGGCCCACATTGTCATACTTAACTACCAATATGACCGACATGACCACTGAAGTTTGAAAACTGTGTCTGGTTGGTGGCTTCAACCCCTCTGAAAAATATGAGTTCGTCAGTTGGGATGATGACATTCCCAATATATGGAAAGTCATAAAAGTATATAAAAGTCATGTTCCAAACTACCAACCAGTAATGGTTTATATGTAGATTTTCTCATGGTTTATCATGGTTTAGAAAGCCCATCTACTAATGGATTGATGACGATCAGCCAATATACACAAGTTGGACAACAATTGACCATTGGTCTATGGTAAGTCTAGTGACTATGTGACTATTTCCATGGCGTTGAGACCACGAGATTTGACTACGCAGCATGGAAAGCACAAAGAAAGTCGAAACCCTGGGAACGGTACCATGAGAACTGCAGTTATATAAGAAACTGCATTGAATTCTTAAAAGAGGAAATGACCTTTCAACATGTTCAAACCAACACATATTTTTCTTTTCAGAAGCAGGACGTTTGTCAGTTATCCTTGTTCAGCCAAAGAAAACATGCAATATAAATCAATATAATAATAATGCCTCACAGCCCAACAGCCATTCGCGCAACTATTCTTGGAGCGCCTGCCAAATCGGCATTGGAAAACAGAGGCCGATTCGGACCTCCGATCAGCTTGTTACGAGCCAAAATGAGCAGCGTTCCATCAACCTTCAAAACAAACGTGGGAAAGTGAGCATTCCGCATTGACACATATAATACCATTAGTTGAGGATCATCATAAACAACCACACCTGCGGATCATAATAATTACACATCAGTGGTTGGTGTGTTGGCGTTAAAAATAAATTTGATTCCAAATAGGACTGGAAAACAAAATGACTTTAACATCTTAAACATCTTCAACAAAATCCAACTAGTCTATTTTGGAGCACCATCCAACTCGATCACCCAACTGTTTGCCTTGCGAAAATACGTATAATTTTATGTTTCCAACAAACCAGGGTGTCACACATTAGATCATTAGCCGCTAAATCGCTGGATGAGGTGGAACTCCTTGAAGACTCACGATGGTCCATCTGGCGAAGAATTCTCAGGAATGTAAGGGACATCAAAGCTGATTATGACAGCTGTGGTCGGAAGAAACAAACCCTGCTTGTGACTGCGAAAAAAAACAAAAAAAAAACGCTGACAAAAAAATGACTGATGAAAGAACTCTGATGAAATCACGGTTGCAAGACATCATCAATCTGACATCTTTGGTATGTTGGAGTTATACCAATCATGTTATAACTAACAGTTCGCCATGGAAAGATCCACCATGCTATTAAGTTCGCTAAACCATCTATTTCGATTAGGGCCATCGAAAAACCATGGCGAACTGTAACAAATAACCAGAGGGTATACCAATCATTGCTGGTTTCGCATCGTCAGCACCGTGCAGGATCGTCCCTGTAGGGGACCTTTTGGTGAAAAACCCTAGAAATTTCCACTGGATATATGTCACTCTCATGACTCTTTTCATTGTACAGCATTAATATAATACATGATTATACATGATTATACATGATTATACATGATTATACATGAACATTTTTAGTATACCCTAAACATGTTTTCCATGTTTTCTAGATTTTTCCAGTTCCACGGAGACATGGATGAAAATCTAATAGAAATTGTACTGTACTTGTAATTTGTGAAGTAGAGAGAGATTTTTTTTGTTAATCCCACTAAGTCATTGAATTAAATACCAATAATAATAACAACACGTAAAATAAAGCAGTGGTATAATTCCTAATAATTATTGATTAATAGTATTAACACGTGAAATATCATTGGAGATAACATCAATTTAATTTTCTGAATAATTATCGATATCTCACTTATTAATAATATCATGATCAATGAGTGAAATACTAAAATATATGCATATATATGTTTACATATACATTTTTTGTGTTTACTTATCACAAAAATGGCCCAATGGCTTATGAAAATTAACAACAATAATAATGAGTGACAATGACTACCCTCTGGTAATTTGACGTAGCTATTGAAAATGGCCATTTATAGTTGATTTACCCATTTAAAATGGTGATGTTTGATAGTTATGTTAGTTTACCAGAGGGTAAACCGTTTTTTTGTTTAAACATCCTAACACTATCCGGATGAAATTCAAGTGACAAGCCACCACTCGTAACTATCCAAACCTGACACGGCCTGCATAAATGTCGTTGTGAAAGGAAGCACGGTGTCTTTCTAACAGTTAGGCTACACCTCTCCATGAATATCCCAAACTTTTTGATGGATACATATGGTTAAAACTAAAACATATATATATATATATATATGATATTGTACTATGATGTTAAACCCTACTATAAAGAATATTAAACATGGATCTTTATTAAACACCATGGTTTGAAGGACCCCGCGGAGATACCAGGCTGCTTTTGCTGCACTCAGCAGCTCTCACGACGGCCGTGTCGCTACGTCCGCGTGTCGCTACACTGCAAGCCGCTGCTACCCAAGTTTCAGAGCAAGAGAAACCAAACCAAAGAAATTGAAGCTAAATATTGCTAAGATGGGCCGTGGGATTAGCGAACTGGTATGAAGTCGTTAGTAAGTGGACTATCAAATCCTATTTATATCCCAACTATAGTCCATTCACCAACTAGTTAAGATTCACCAACTCCAGGCTGCACATCCGAGCTGCTTTTACTCGAATTTTGCACCTAAGAAACCCGATTATGGGTATATACATCCACCAAATGCACATTTACACCCCTGGGAACATGTCAACAACGAAAAACTGCAACCAGTACACAGTCTCTCTTGGGAACAGCGACCACAGCGGCTCAGCGCCTAAGCCAATCCCTTCAGTTTGTTCAAGATCTCCTGTCTCTTCGCCCACAGAGGATCCTTGCAGATTCACGAAACCAACGAAACCCCTAAATCATCCATTTTAATAGATTTTCCATTATAAACCATCTATTTTCAATGGGAATTCCAGGATCCTAAAATGGAGGTACTTAGTACCATTTTTCAGGCCATATTTTCTGGGGATATTCCCTGAAATTTAGGCCTGAAAAATAGGCCTTATATATGAAATCGGTACCTCCAATTCAGGTTCATTGATATTTTCGGGTATCCCTATTTATGGAAACCCTCATCACAATGGAGACACCTTCACCATCCTGGCAGCCTTGCAGATTCGGGGTGAACTGGAGGAGGATACTGGAGATATAGTTTTATTTTGGCTGGTGCTATGTAGATACTACAAGTTGGTGCCCCATAGTTAGCTAAGTTGGTAAACATAACTTCAATAATTATGTACAATTATGGTTTATGGTAGATATATGGAACATTATCGAACTACTATTCCTATGGTTTTTCTTAACCAACATTCACATCACTGGGGGGGCACAACCTTGTATGATTTCAACCCGTGATACTCATCCTACGAGGTGGTGCTCTGTGGTATGCCCTGCATGAATTCGACTGATCTGCAGCGCATAAACAGACTTCAGCCCTTCATTCAGCTAGTCTAATCAATGGGAATTTCAGGATCCTAAAAATGGAGGTACTGTAATAAGGCCATATTTTCTAGGGATATTCCCTTACATAGGCCTTATATAGGCCATTGATCTAATGTTTGTTAGTGATATTTACCAGATTTCACCACGCTATCTCAGGGATCTCAGCACAACTTGCAGAAAAAAAAATCGCTCGCTAGCCAGCTATGGTATCTTCATCCCCCAGCCCAGGCTGGGCACTAGCATCACTTCTGCTGCTTCAATCCCGGTCGTCTGTTCTGAAAGACCCCGTTAAACATTGCCAATCCTGGTTAGTACATATCCCCATATATATATATATATACATACATACATATTTATATGTATATATATATATATTTCAGTACAAGGTGGTGCCCCCAAGTAATAAGTTGCTTCAGTTTCTACCGGTTTTCTACAATTTTTTCGTCTCCAAAATTCGACCATTTTCGTCGTCGCCCACCTCTTGGGGGCCAGGGCGATAGTAGTCGCTGTCAGAATCTGAGACCTCACGATGAAAATACCCATTAAAATGATATATCCCACCATAGTTTTCATATAAATTATCCCCATTAAATTTAAATAAGATGATTTGTGAAGCCACAGAAGTTGAGATTTTGCGAATTTCTGGTAGAAAACCAACAGTTAAACCATGGGAAGACCATAGGAAAACCGCAGGAAAACCATAGGAACATGGAGATTTACCCTCCGGTTATTTCACATAGCCATGGTATAGATGGCCCTAATCGAAATAGATGATTTTCCCAGCGAACGAAACCTCCATTTATGTTTGGGATTTTCCATGGCTATGTTACATAACCAGATGGTAAGCCACACATTGCTGGGTAAATTATACTAATTCACCAACCTGAAATAAGGCCATTTGGGGATGATTTCCCTTACTAACCATGATTACCAGTGAGGTCGCGGTGAGGTCGTTATAATTTACCCAGACACATATTTAAAAAAAAAAACATCAGATTTGACGGGCAAAGATTGAGTTTGACTATATAAAACATTGAGATTTAGGCCCAGGGACTTGACCTTTTTAGGAATCCTTCCCCCAGAACACGGGTTCTATAGGTACCATGCAAAGAAGCCAAAAAACTTGGTATAACTTAAGTTCGCTGGGAAGTCTACTTGGCCCACTTGGCCTTTCAAGGCCCCCTAAAATTAAATATCAAGTACTGTTAGATTCAGATGGTTGTTATGCGGGCCCCAGCTATGCTAAAATTGGGGATTACAACCCAGCTTCACTGTATTCCCTATAGATTCCCGAAATACTGGATGTCCCGGCTGCCGCTTCCAACACCCCTTGCCGGAAACGGGGGCGATGATTCTCCTCTAATGGAGGTTTCCTGAAATGGTACCCGGTACCCCAATAGCTGGATGGTTTATTTCATGAAAAATCCTAACATAAAATGGATGATGACTAGGATATCCCCATTTTAGGAAGCCTACATATAGTAGGTGGGAGCAAGCCTTTATATTGATTAGTTGAGTGTCCACCTATTTTTGCACGCTTGATCGACCTAGACTTTTGCTTCTGTCTTCGAGCCACCAAGATTGATCCAGTACAAAACCATTGTTGGTTTAGATCCATTTTTTTGCAGTTTGTACCCCATTGAATTTATAATTTTATACAATATACTAAGCCCCACAAAAATACAAGAAGCTTCAGTTTACCACTATTCCAAGTTCCGAATTCTATCTTTGGGGCTATACCCAATACTCCTTGAAAGCCAATTTGTTGACTCCCGTCACATGCTCCGGACCATGTCGACAGCTTCAGCAGCTTCGACCATGTCGCCCTTGTTGATGTCATCTGCCGGACCATGGAGCACCTCAGTGACTTCCCCAACTTGGAGACCCTGCCAGAGGGGATGGAAATGTGCTTTCCACTGGCTATTTCAAGGTCTATATGTCTTTGGGGGAAGGGATATATGTGAAAAAATCTGAAAGACTGGAACTGAGTTATTTAATCTATGATAATCCTTATACACTTGTATATATATATATACGGTATAGATGTTTTTATTTGTACAGTAAGTCTAGCCGACCATTTGGGGGTCATGTTACATATTATACACCCAAAAACATACACTAATTGGGGATGGACAAAGGACCCCCAGGTAGTTTCAACAGCAACAACGGGAATCTCAAAAACCTCAATCAGAGATCATGGCAATCCATGACATGCTCAACCGCACCTCTGCCAAAGGGGCAGCAATTTCGACAGGAGATGGTTCCTGTTGCAGCAGGGGCAACAGAAAATGTCAGCCATGGAAACGGTTGCAGCAGCGTGCATTAATCAACCGCACATATTATTCAGTTCGATGGACATTTAGGTTGATGTTCACAAATCTTGGCCAGCAAACTTTAGATGTGTGGATGTAGCCTTCGGTAGTTTCAATTGACGATAGAACATTTTTTATTTTCCAAATGTAAATTGAAATCATTTGCAAAATGGCATCCTCTACTGCCATGTTGTTGAAGAGGTACTTTATTTACCCTCTGGTAAACGTTAACAAACAACTATGGAAAGATCCACCATGCTATAAATAGGAAAATCCACTATTTCTATGGCTATGTTCAATAGCTATGCAACAAATTACCAGAGGGTAACACAACTAACTCACTCTTAGTTGTTTGGTCGGTCAATGGGGTGAAACAAAATTCAAGACCTACTAAAAACCACAGGTTTCGTCGACAGTTTCGTGTAGCATTCAGGATCCAGTTTTGTTGGGTTATCCCATTTTGCCGCTGGTGGTGCAATAACCATCTTGAAAAATGATGGAGTTCGTCAGTTGGGATGATGAAATTCCATGTATGAAATGGACAAATAAGGGTGTCATGTTCCAAAGCACCAAATCTTGCATGCAGTCATCTTACTCGGGTCAAGAATTCCATTCCCAAGTCGTTGTTTCAAGGACGACAACAAGTGCCGATTGGTGGCTCCAACACATGAAACAGTGTTCAATGGAGGCGTAAGTATGTTTCGGAAAATTCACGATTCTTAGTGAAACAAACAACATCTGGGTAAATTATAATATTTCACTAACCTGAATAGTTCGGCCATTTGATAATGATTCCCCTTACTAACCATGATTCCCAGTGAGGGAGAACAGTGAGCTCGTTATAATTTACCCAGACAACATCCATCAAAATAACTGTTAATCCCTGTGAATCAGCTACATGCCGATTTTGGGGGAACACAAGTCAACATAATCCGAACCAAACATCTTCGAAAGTAACTGCTGGGTACATGGGGCGTTTGCAGGAAATAAAATCGGGGATACACCCGGCCCGGCAAGAATGGATATATTATAACAATAACACACGAAACAATGATCAATTATAAAACACAAGAGCACACAACTGGTTGCGTACCCAATCAACATGGGTAAACCAAATTGTGGTCTGACTCCCTTTTGAAAATTGTGTCCCACATTAAAACCTTGACACAAGTTGGCTACAATACCCTCTGGTAAACTAACGTAACTATGGAAAATCACCATGTTTCATGGGTAAATCCACTATAAATGGCAATTTTCAATAGCTATGTTAAATTACCAGAGGGTATTTTCCAAGACCCCCGTCATTACCAACGTCATGCTTATCATCACCACCATGTCATCTCGGCTGTCCTCCTCGTCACTTGTTGCAGGCGATGGCGCTTCTGGTTTGTCCTGCCATGCCGTGATTGATGCTTTGGAACCGATGTATTTCAAACATGGCAGTGTGTCAAAACCAATAGTACCCCTGTAGTTCACATCAAAATAGCTGGGATTTATGGATGTGAATAACCCCCTAAAAATGGTATTTTCATAGGTATTGATCCATAGCCATGTATTTCAAACATGAACATGGGATTACATGGGATCTGTCAAACAACATTATCCACCATTTGCTGATATTGGGCAACCACACGGCTAACAAAACCGCATCCTCTCTGAATCATATTCATGTTTGACACCGATTGGTGTGATGGGCCCCTATTGTGAGTTCTTTCAAAAATAATTCAATGTCCCGAAATTGTTTTGGTGGAACTCTATTGTGATATTTTTTTCCTCAGACCCATAAATTTGTCGGAAACAAATAGGTCCAAAAACAAAAACATCCTTCTTGTAGGTCCAGTCCCTTCTTGGACGGTTTTTCCTTACCCTCTGGCAAACTAACATAGCTAGATGGTTTACCTATTAAAAATGGTAATTTTCTATAGCTATGTTAGTTTACCAGATATATAATGTAGTAGGATGTCTGGCTAGTTAGTTTAAGGATCTTAACCATCAACATTGGATTTCACCATGAATAGCTATGTTAGTTTACCAGAGGGTAATTTGATCATGAAATCTTAAGATCACCCAAAAAAAAGGATCCGGGGATTTAGGGGGTACAAACCATGAACGACTAGATCCTCAATGAAAATAAACGTTGTATTAGAGGGATTTCCCACTGGGATTTCCATGGTTACCCTCTGGTAATGACTAACATAGCTATTGAAAATGACCATTTATAGTGAGTTTTCCCATTAAAAATGGTGATTTTCCATAGTTATGTTAGTTTACCAGAGGGTAATAATGGTTACTGTAATAATGGCCTGGTTGGTGGTTTAAAAACCATCTTGAAAAATGATGGAGTTCGTCAGATTGGGATGATTATCCCCAATTTTTTTGAAATGGAAAAATAATCCACATGTTTGAAACCACCAATAATTGTTTGGATGGTACTCTATCGTGCTCAGATTTTTGTTGGGGTGGAAAAAAAAATCCACACCTTTTTGGGTAATTAAAATTGGTACATTAACATTAGAAGGCCATAGCCGTTTTGAATCTTTACACTGCAAGGTTTCCCAAATGACTAAATTCCTTATTAAAGCCTTTTCAAACACAACACCGAAACAACATTTATTTAACGGGTGCCCCACAAGTGACTCAGATCCTCAATAATATAATTGTTTTGGTGGTACTCTATTGTGCTCAGTTTTTTTCGGGTGAAAAAAAAAACACATTTGATCCACCTTCCTTAGGGTAAAGCTATTTACCTGTCCTTAGATTTCTTTCTCGTTTAAACGGAAAAACAATTGAATGTATAAAAATGAATTGAGGTCATTGCTTATCCTTAGACTTTCGTTTTGGTTTAACATGAAACAATTGAACATAAATTGCCATCTGCTTATTTAACATAGCCATGGAAAGATCCACCATGCTACTAATGGGAAAACTCACTATAAATGGCCATGTTCAATAGCTATGTTAAATTACCAGATTTCTCTCGAGATTTGATTTTGAATCCTTGCTTGTCCTGAGATTTCTGAAGCCCAAAAACTGATCAGACTGTATTTTTTGATTTTTAGGGAATCAATTGAAAGTAGATTGGCATCTTAAAGTAGATTGGCATCATCCTGAGTTCCCCAGACCTCACTTTCCGAAAAATGTCGAATCATAGAGTACACCTCAATTGTTTGCACCGTGCGCCAGACGGCTCCTCTTTTTGCTCGCATTCATCTGGAGAGTGTGCTGAAGACGCTTGCGACACGACGAAGAAAGGCAATGTCTCGGCCTCGAGCTGAGTGTTTGAAAAGAGTTTACAGAAACATCAACTGCTTGGTGGTTGACCTACCATTGTGGTTAATATACTGTTAATATGGTTAATGATGATGGTTAATGATGGTTAATGATGGTTATATAATAATAAACTGCTTGGTGGTTGACCTACCCCTCTGAAACATGATTGAGTTCGTCAGTTGGGATGATGATATATAAATATATATATATATGGAAAAATAGAAAAAATAAGTTCCAAACCACCTGCCAGCTAATCAATAGCAGTTGACAGGGATTTATTGAATTATATTGATTATATATGTTTCATGTATGTCAATATAATTCAATACATGTTATTCCTGCGTGCAATTGCTGCGCGCCCGCTTGTTGCCCACGACGCCGCGCGCGCAACTCATTGCAACTCTATACAGTTTGCGGTTGCTACCAAAGATGACTGCCACTCCTAAGGGCACTCGTCGGGGATGCTGAAATGCACTCGAACATGTGTTCAAATGTGTTCGACGAATCAATGCAACATTCAAGGGATTGATTTGAAAAATAGTGACGACAGGAAAACCATGGGTCTTTAACATGTCTGCCTCAAAAAATGAGAGATGTTTCCTGCCAGTTTTACATCTTTGGGGTTTCACATGGCCCTCGGGCAAGTGGCATGAAACCAAGACTCTGGCTCCGGGGATCCCGGGGAAGTCACTGCCCCGTTTTGTTAAAACTAATAAACTTAAAAGGTCTAACTTGATGTTTAGAAAGCTGCAACAATCCATGTCCAATAATTCCAACAGCGAAATTCTCTATAAGCTGGTGCCCCATAGTTAGCTAAGTTGGTGAACATAACTCCAATAACTGTATGGTAGATATACCTATACTATTCTATATACTTACAATGGTTTATAAGCCAACTTAAAACTGGGCGGGGGCACAACCTTCCCAGGGGGTATTTCAATCTCCATGCCCTGGTAAGATTCAAGTATGGGCCGCATCTGGCTACTGGCTGCTCGTAGAAAATCATCACAACCCCACATTTTTTGGTACGGAAAATGAATGAAGACTTCCCAAAACATCCAAGACCCATGGTGACTCACATTCTATGAAGGCTTCAACTTTGTTTAAAACAAAGTTTAGCCAATGAATAATGAAAACATATTGAACACTATTGATTATGTCACTTGAATCCACTTTCAACTGCCATGATAAGTCGACCAGTCTGCCCAACGTCATTCCATTCAATCCCAGTTGGCTAAGAACGGGAGTCTCAGCTCGTGGCTTATGATTCATGATTGTCACCCTTTTTTATCATCATATATCGGGTAGTATAACATGTGGGGATGGGTCAAAACCCTGGTACCTAGTGAACCCCAAAATAGCTGGTAAATGGATGTTCAATGGTATTAATAGGTATTGATCCATACCCATGTATAATACTGTATAACCCCGGAGAAAAATCATGAATGGCTTGTCTTGCAGCCACTGCTCATCAAACGGTGATTCTTGGTGATACGGAGACCGTTGAACCGTTCTGGGAAGGTCTTGGGTCTTGTGAGTCCAACGGGATCAACCTTGGCCTTACCAAAACCATGCTGTTCTGGATGCTTATGGGTAGTTATGCTGGTTGGTGGTTGACCTACCATTGTGGTTAATATACTGTTAATATATGGTTAATGATGATGGTTAATGATGATGGTTATTGATGGTTATATAATAATAAACTGCTTGGTGGTTGACCTACCCCTCTGAAAAATGACGGAGTGAAAGTCAGTTGGGATCATGTTCCATTCCCATATATGATTGAAAAATAAAAAATGTTCCAAACCACCAACCAGTAATTAATGTAGTTATGCTGACCTCTGTACATTTAAGGCCCTGTAGCCTCTGTTTCTCTGTTTCTCGACCGTTTCAGCACATTTTCTCTGGAGACATTCCCCCCATCCTCCGCGGCGTTCGGCTAGATCTTGCTGGCTATATTCTTTCATTCCTCTGATCGGTTGCTGAAAGTTGGAGAAGGTATTTGTGGAACGTTTTGGCACTTAAACCCTCCATGTTGTGATGTTGCTATAGGTTGTTGATGGGTGTGGCGTAGGGGTTGAACTTTAGAAACTGCTGCTGGGGGGGGGTTGGGCATTGTCAAGATAAAACCTTTCAGTTTACATGGATTTTCTTTGCTTCCATCATTTCACATTGCTCTTGCAGCTTTTTGTTGGCATGGTATTTGCAGGGTTCTGGAGCTCGAACCCTTTAGTTGGGCGTAGCGTTTCTTCCTTTCCCTCCTTCCAGTCCTCCTTGCTTCCTTCATATTGTTGGCTGTCGATCCAGTTTAATCAAACGCAAAATTCCTACCATCAATCTAGGTATAACAATCTTATCCGTCACCTGCACTAGCTCGGCCATGGGATACTTCTCCCAACATACGCTACCCACAGCCCAAAAACAGTGACATCGCAGGGCTCGGTCATTGATTCAATCACAGTGATTGATGGTGAACAATCACCTTTTTTGTCGACCACTTTTCAAAACGCCAAAACCAAGACCAACAAGACCGTCACACCGAGTTTCTCGGAAAACATGACGACCTAAAAATCAATTATGAAAATTGCCATGTTGGGGTAGCTCTACACCATTTCCAGGACACACCCACGCATCCCACATTTTAGATGGGTGTTTCATCAATCATGAAAATTTCACCATGCCATATCATCCATATCTGGTTGGTGGTTTCAACCCCTCTGAAAAATATTAGTTAGATTGGATCATAATCCCAACTATTGGGGAACATAAGAGCCATGTTCCAAACCAACAACCAGATATCTAAGAGATGGTTTTTCATCATTCGAATTTCACGGTTTTCCCTGTTTTTTTTTTCCGATGGCAAACCAATCCCTTCATCCTCCGCGGCTAATGCGCCGTCCAGCGACGCTTGGGAGCTCTGTTTCCTCCGAGGATGAAGCTTCAGCTGCCTGGCGAGAGATCGACCGCGGTTCGCAACGCGTAACGCGCGGTTTTTTTTGTCGATGATTGATGCTAAATGGATTGGTTTAAGGGAAAATTTTAACCGGAAAGCCAATATGAATAATGGGAAAATCTATGGTTTCCTGTAAAACTTCCCTTAAACCAATCCAATCATTGATGCTAGATTAAAAAACAAAAACAAAAAACTGGAAACAAATTAGATGAATGATTCAAATGATATGTTCAATAATCTCTATGAATACTGATAAACACTTATATAGATCATCTTAGATCTAAATGATATATCTTGATTTCATGATCATACTATGATAGATTCATTCATGTAGAATACACTATTGATAGAACCTATTTACAAACAATAAAATAAAAATAGACTTAAATCTAGGTCAAACTCTATTGATATATATATATATAATTAAATGATAATCGACTGATAGGTTTAATGATGTTATTTCAGAATATTTCAGATCTAAGTGGTTGTTGGTTTATGGTAGATGTTAACTTACTCATTGTTAATGAGGTACACATAAACAACAAACATGAAAACCCATTTCACTGGGGGGCACCGCCTTGCATGTGCCATGGTCAAAACATGTTTGCAAGCCATACTTTGGGATGACTAAACCAATATTGATATTAGCCTTAAATAGTTGGTCAAGCAACGATCATTCATCATATCCCTGTATGTGCCACGGGGTATGGTCATCATCCCACCATCATGAATGAGATTGCTTAGAGTGGGTATGAATCCCTGTGAAAATGGATTGATGATCATCCCGCAAATTCCCGCGATATGGGTAGATAATGGTAGATAATCCAGCTCTTGACCCTGGAACACAATGTGGGTTTGTCCAACCAGAGCTGTGATTAATTATATCAAGCTTGCCCAAGCAAGGTTGAATATGGTTTAATACATTTTCACAAGCAAGGACATAAATCCAACAGCCATTTTCAAGTTTTTGTTCATGGGCTTCACACGAGAGGTCGTTTTTGTTAAAATCTGGTTATTTAACATAGCCATGGAGCATCCCAACCATAAATGGAGGTTTCGTTCGCTGGGAAAATAATCTATTTCTATGGGCCATCTATACCATGGCTATGTTAGTCATAACCAGAGGGTACAGTAAACCTCCATTTTCCTATGGTTTTCCTATGGTTTTCCCATCGTTTTCCCATGGTTTTCCTATGGTTTTCCTATGGTTTTCCTATGGTTTTCCCATGGTTTTCCCATGGTTTAACTGTTGGTTTTCTACCAGAAATCAGCCTTTTTGGGATGATCAATATAAGACAGAGTCCCCATGTATTTTTCTCAGTGCGGGATTGAAAACATGAAGGTTAATATATGTATATCTATCTGTATTAATCTATCTATGTATATATAATGAAATATCTGGTTGGTGGTTGACCTACCCCTCTGAAAAATATTAAAGTCAGTTGGGATGATGGTTCCCGACTGAATGGAAAAATAAGAAATGTTCCAAACCACCAACCATATATATATATAATATTATATATATATATATATAATCACGAGTGAATCACGAGTGAACATGAATACGATCACTTCTGGGACAAGTTCGAACCCGGAATCCTCTGGATCCACCATTGCCGCTTCTCCAGTCTCCTGATTCTCTGCCTGCGCGGCAGGTTCACGAGCTGGGATTCCATGTCATGCCAGTGGCAATACATTGCTTCGCTTGATCCCCAGTCATGGGGGTTTCCTAAGCCATGGGGGTACCCCAGGTCACCATAGGTTTCAATGTTTCCTAAGTCGTGGTCATTTTGAGGGTACCCCCATGACAAAACGGAAACCTGGAAAAGGGTAACCTAGTGCAACTAAAAAAACATCATTCCACTCTTTTGGATAGAAAATCAAAAGAAGAACACAACTGATGTGACGTCCTTTGGGCTGACACTTCGACTGAGAAAACCTCAGACTCCCCTGACTACACACTACCATAATCTACCATCCGTGGCCATTTCTTTAGCGGCTTCGATTTTGTTTCTTGCTATCCAAACCATACCTTCTGCTTGAGCACTTACCCGATGGAAACATACCAAAACGAATCCTTGGGAATCATATTGGAACCCATTGAACCTGGATAAACTATGTTAAACTATGATCATCTGAGCCATCAAAATCATGAAAAACATACCCAAATACTGATTGCTTATGACGTAAGGAGTTAAACAAATAGAACCTGGTTCTAGGGGATTAGCAAAAATAACCGTAATAACCCATATGACATGGGCTTTCCCATCAACCAACCATCGTATTTCATGAGGGACAGGGGATTTTAAGATATTTTAAGCCCAGTCCGGCTCAGTTCACCGGACAAGTTCAAGCGTTTGGGGATACTCCGTGTTTTCCATAGGGATTTCCATATGGATTTCCATAGGGATTGTTAACAATGGTCTGGTTGGTGGTACAATAACCATCTTGAAAAATGATGGATTTCGTCAATGGGAAGGATGAAAATACAATTCATGTTTGAAACCACCAATCAGAATTAAAATGCTTTCAGCAAGAAACACTTCCTGGATGTGCACAAGAAACATCACTTTACGAAGCGTTCTTGCTTCAAATCTGGCTCCTACAGGATGATGCCCCCCAGTTATAAGTTGGTTTATAAGCCCCATTAACTATAGTTATATCTGCCATAAACCATAGTTATGGGAGTTATAAACCAACTTAACTAACTATCGGGCACCACCTTGTAAACAAAGCCACACGTCTCACTGTGTCAGTGATAATCACCATCCAGTCATCAGCTCCATGGCTGGAAAATCCTCCATTTAGTTCGATGATTCTCCTACTAAAACCTCCGATGGATTCTCCAATGTAGTACCCCTCAAAAGAATAGAACAATACGTCATCAAACTGGTAAGATCTGGTAAGGAAGTATGAACTTACTTTTTTTTGATACTGTTCTGGTTGTCTGGTTGGTGGTTGAGCCAGCCCCTCTGACAAATATGAGTTCGTCAGTTGGGATTATTATTCCCAATATATGGACAATTAACAAATGTTCCAAACCACCAACCAGTGTTTTAATTTGATCTTATTTTTCTCGGGGTCATTACTTAAATGTTAAGGCTCAATTTTCTTGGAACCACCCACCCGTGAACGCACCAAAAACCCTGAGTTTCTCTCACCGTTCTATGAATTCCATGCCATTGAATCCCAACATAAAATCCCATGATCTTCCCATATATTCCCATATCTTCAAAGATATTCATGGGAAACTCCATCCAATAGATTTTGACCATATCTTCCCATATATTCCATGAATTTCCCATATATTCCCACATCTTCCATGATTTTCCCATGATTTCCCATGAAAATCCCACATGTTTGCCATATTTTTTCGACGTTTGGATGAGGGAACCCTACCAGTCCGCCTTGTCTTCAGGCAGGGGTCCAAGCACAGGGCCCTGTCGGGGATACAATGGTATAGCCATAACCACACCCCCTATTATATAGTCAATGGGGTATAAAATCAATATATAACCACGTGGCAGTGGTAAAAATCTAATAACCATAACCACCTGGTTGTGATAAAGATGGGGGACATTAATATATATATATAATTATATATATATTATATAACCGTTTTTCTATTCACCAATTCTATTCACCAATATGAGCATATGGCTGTGTCTGAGAATAGGCTATTTGGATCCTTATAGGGCTAAATGGATTGGCTGAGGGAACATTGACAAATACCCCACATCGTTGAAGTTTTTCGAAGTCTAAAATTACAAAAACCACATTGTGGTGCATTGGTTTGCTGTAGAAATGAACTGAAACCAAACCATTGAATTCAGGGTATAATCGGAAATGTGATGGCACATTCATGTCACACAAACTGAACCAATATGCAAGACATGACGGGAAGAAAACAACCACAACACATGGGACAATCGCGCTGGAATCCCCAACCAGAAATAACAAATTGGTCTGGTTGGTGGTTGAGCCACCCCTCTGACAAATATGAAAGTCAGTTGGGGTTACTATTCCCATATGGAAAAATATAAATGTTCCAAACCACCAACCAGATTGGTGGTTTTTCCATGTTTTTCGTGACCCATTTCTTACTTCGATTCCAAACCTGGCCTCCACGCTGAGAGGTGGATCGGCAGTCTTTGGCCTGGCCGACGACATCCCGCCGGCTTTTTTTCCGGTGGAGATATCCCGCAGCTAGGATTAACTAGGGACAATATGGTTGTATAATGTTGAAGGCAGCTGTGACTCGTTCCGCCTGAGCTGCATCGAGATTCGCAGGTGGCGCGCGCTCCATGAGCGCCGTGACGACCCCTGAGGCGAATCTTCGCCTTGGCTTTCCGCTTGCGGCTGCCTTCTGGACAGGCCTAGCCTTTGGCTTGGGCCTTGCCTTCGGCAGTGCCCTGGCAGCCTGCACGGCAGCGGCGATGCAAGGGCAAATTTGCCGCAGGCGGGTTGTGGCCAAGTGCCTTGCCCAAGCAGCAATCCGTGAGGGAAGGGTAGAAAGATGTGCAAAAGCAGGCTGCAGAGCAGCCAAGTAAGAAGCGCAGTCATCCGTGGTGACAAAAGAAACCCGTAAAAACGGGAAAAGGAAAAAATGCGCTGACGAGGAAAAAATGTGGAGGGGTGTGAGAGTGAAAGTAAAAGTTAGAAAAGTTAAAGGAAGTTTGAACGTGTTTTTTTAATTGAACGGGTGGTGGATTGCTGGTAGGCGGTATAGGTTATATATATATATTTGAAATATTTACAGAATTCTTCAGATATCTATATATATTCATAATTTTTTTCAATATATATTTATATAGTTGAACTTACATATACATTGTATATACGTATATGTGGATATTTTTGAGTGGAAGTACACTCCCAAGTAGGCATAGATCATGGAAATCAACATGGGGTACTTTTTTTTCCAAATCTAGCATTGCTAGCCGGTAATCAAACATGGCAATGGAAAATCCTCCATTTATATGTAGATATAGAAATAATATATATATAATTATATATATATATATATACATTATTAGAGGGTTATCCCATCCCATGATAAGTGCCATTTATATATTCCCAAAGGGTAACATTAAGTTACCAGGGGAGACGGTCACTTCAAAGAACGTACTTTCAGTTTAGGCCCAGCTTCCCAAATTCCCAAGTCGATTCAATTCTGGGAGAAAGGTAATAAAAATGGAACACAAAAACGTAATCACCATTGTAATTGTCTATCTGTCTGTCTACTGTATCTCTAATCTAGATCTAGTCCTATCTGAGTATCTCTCTCCCTCTCTCTCTCACATCCGTCCGTCCGTCCGTCCGTCCGTCCATCCATCCATCCATCCATCCATGCATCCATCCATCCATCCATCCATCCATCCATCCATCCATCCAATCCATCCAATCCATCCATCTACCTACCTATGTATCCACCCATCCACCCATCCAATCTAATTAATATATTGTAATCTAATCGTATCTTATCTTATCTATACTTTATATCGTCATCTAATCTAATTATCTGTCTGTTTGTCACCAAAGGAAGTTTAGTAGTCTAAACTCCGTTTTACGAATTTAAAATCTGGAGAACGTACAGAAGTGGAGAGTGAGTGAGTGAGATACTTAGTTAATTAGTTAGCTAGTTAGTTACTTGCTTCCTTAGTTACTTAGTTACTTAGTTAGCTACGTGGTTAGTTAGTTAGGTAGTTAGTTAGTTAGTTGGTTGGTTGGTTAGTTAGTTTAGTTAGTTAGTTAGGTTTAGTTTAGTTTAGTTTAGTTTACTTTAGTTAGCTAGCTAGTTAGCTAGTGAGTGAGTGAGTTAGTTAGGTAGGCAGTTAGGTAGGTAGTTACTTACGTAGGTAGGTAGGTAGTTAGGTAGTTAGGTAGTTAGTTAGTTGGTTGGTTAGTTAGTTAGTTAGTTAGTTAGATAGTTAGTTGGTTAATTAGTTCGTTAGTCAGTCAGTCAGTTAGTAGTAGGTAGTAGGTAATAGGTAGTAGTAGGTACTATAGTAGGTCGTAGGTAGTAGTAGGTACTATAGTAGGTCTGAGGTAGTAGTAGGTAGTAGTAGGTAGTAGTAGGTAGTAGATTTTTGTGGATTGCCGCCTTGGTAGACAAAGTTGTAGTGTAATTTGCAAGGCAGTGATTGCAGATCGCAATGGAAATGCTGTGTTAAGGTGATGTTTGGACGATAGGAATCGAACGAAACCCTATGTTGTTTTTCGCACAAAGTGGCTCCCTGTGCGACGGGTGCCGCTGGCGCTCGGGGTGACGACTTTGGGTTCGCATGGCTTCCTCCATTGTAAAGGTGACTATCGAGAATGTCAATGAGCTCATCGACTGCGCTGTGTCAATGTGTTTGCTGATCTACGGTTGCAGAATGCCTGTAGCCATGCTTCTAATTGCTGTTTGCGGATGCAAAAGGGAATTGTATACAATCATATATACTGTGCCGGGTATGTTTTGACCTGACATGTGGGTGCTGTTTTGTAAGATTGGTGCCAAGCATCAGTTGGACTGAAATTGGCCATGCGGTTAGTTGCAGCACAAGGATAACGAACAGGGTGGCAGAACATCATGATATTGTTTGCATCGTGTTCATGTTTCCCACGGTATACATCGTTATACGGTATATTTCGTTGTTTCACAACGGCTGGATCAGAGCATCTCCTTGAACTTAGTACCTTTGAGGGTGGAGTGTGTGTGTGTGTTTTTTTGCTGGGCAAGGTGATGTGTGCTGCAGCCACCATGGTTTGAGTCATTGGTTGCATCACACGATGTGTAGAGACATGCAGGTTTGTAGTACAGAGTAGAACTGGGAAGTACTTTGTGCAAGCTTTGTGGTACAAAGTAGTACTGGCGTACTGGCATGTACGAAGTAGTGCTGGGAAGTCTTTTGTGCATGTAGTACAAGTAGTACTGGAAAGTACTTTGTGCAAGCTTTGTAGTACGAAGCAGTTCCGGGAAGTCTTTTGTGCAAGCTTTGTAGTACGAAGTAGTACTGGAAAGTACTTTGTGCAAGCTTTGTAGTACAAAGTAGTACTAGGAACGATTTTGTGCAAGCTTTGTAGTAAAAAGTAGTACTGGGAAGTACTTTGTGCAAGCTTTGTGGTACGAAGTAGTACTGGCATACTGGCATGTACGAAGTAGTACTGCGAAGTATTTTGTGCAAGTGTTGTAGTACGAAGCGGTACTGGGAAGTCTTTTGTGCAGCTTTGTAGTACAGAGTAGTACTGGGAAGTACTGTTGGTGCAAGCTTTGTAGTATGAAGTAGCTACTGGGAAGTACTTTGTGCGAGCTGATAGTACAAAGTGATACTGGGAAATACTTTGGGCAGGTATTTTGTGGTACAGGAAAGGCTTTGTGCAAGTCTTGAAGTACACAGGATGAAATTTGCGCGCATGGTACGAAGATGTCAAAAGAAAGAGATGTGAATGAAAATGGCCTCAAGACAAAGGAGATGTCAAGACAGAAGGTGTCAAAGGAATCAATTTTAACAGAAAGAGGTCTCAAAATAAAAGTGTGAAACAACAGGACAGAAAAATGGTGCCAAGCAAAAACCGTGTCAAGAGAGAGAGAGAGAGAGGTGGAGAGAAGAGAATGTCAAGAGAAGCAGGTCTCAAGAAAAAGATATGCCCAATGAAGCCCAAAGATAAGGATGCCAAGAGAAAGAGTTGTCAACGGAAAGCGGCTGAAACGACATCGGTTTCAAGAGACAGCGATGACATCAGAAAAAGCTTGTCAGGAGAGAAGAGTGTGTCAAGTCTCTGGTTCCAGGGCTGTCGACAAGAAGGGCTGTCAAGATTGAAAAATGACAAGCACAAGCCAGATCAAGAAAGTGGTAGCATCAGAGAAAGATGTCGAGAATTCAGAAATGTCAAGGGCCAAGACTTCCAAGAGAAGACGCAGTCGACGGCTGTGCCAGCCAGGCGGTCAGGGGCCGTTCCTATAGGCTCTCCCTTGTCTTTATAGGTTCTTCCCTCTCTCGAAACTTCCGTCACCCGGCTTGCCCGGGCTCTACTTGTATAGCAGAAGTCTTCATACTACGTCATATTCCAGTTTGAATGGGATTCAATGTGCAAACCAGTCTGTAGAGGTTTTGTTTCATCGATATACCCTCCGGATAATCAAAAATAACAATGTCAAATCCATGGTTAAATTCCCCAAATTGTGGATGTTGTTCCCATTTACCCTCTGGTAAATTAACTTGTTGACCCTGAAAATCACCCATTTTTAATGGAAACTAGGCTTCCAACCCCGATGACTACCAGGGTCTATGTTAATTTACCAGAGGGTAATAATCCAATTATAGTCGGAATAGTATTCACCATGATACAATGGACATTTATGTCTGATTTTAAATGTCCATTGAAAAAAAAGGGCATGTCCACGCGCTGCACCTCTTCACCTCATGACCATCGTGATGACCTGGTGAAAGTGACGTCAGCTTGGGGTTTTTCATAGCTACGTCAGCTATGTTAGTTTGCTGGAACGTATTTCGTGTACATATTAGATACAGTTAGTTATGTTAGTTAGGAAAAAAAGTGTAACCAGATATATACATAGAATATCATAGAACTCAAACACAGGATTAAAATTACTAAAAAAGTATTGGGTTATATCCATGTTGTATCGATACTTGAAGGGTCTAGGTTCGGTATATATGGTGATTTTCCCATGACATATGGTGTTTTCCTGTAAATTTTCTTTATATATAAACCAATCCATTGACATCAGCATTTGGGTTTAGCAGCCACTAAATAATAGTTCATTTGAGTTGTGGAATCCCCATGGTCTAGCCATGAAAAATCATCTGTTTCTATGGGCCATGGCTTCCAAAACGCGAACTGTTTGTCATAACCAGAGGGAAATGGAATATGAAAATCTAGAAACATAGAAACCCAATGGGATTTCATGAGAAGCCGTTATCCCATCTCATTCTACTAGTTGGTTGTATTTCACAATCCCCAATAAATTATATAGGGAGTGTAAGTCCCAATTCATTCACCAATCAACCATCATGTTTAATTATTCATTTTTTTCGCTAGATCATGTTGTATTTCCAATTTTTCATGGTTCAACCCCCATATAAATCCCTATTTCACAACCAATTCACGAGGTATGTTCAATGGCTCCCAACTTTTCTGGCCGCGCCTCGCTTGGTCCCACGGTTACCACGATCCTGCCGTTCCCGCAGGAGACGTCCGGCATCACGGCCAAACCACCTGGAGGTCTCTCGGCCGCCATTCAAGATATGGTGAGATTTGACTGATTTCACATCACTGGTTGGTGGTTTTTCGCCCTACCCCTCTGAAAAATGATGGAGTGAGTTCGTCAGTTGGGATGATTTTCCATTCCCAATATATCTGGGTAAATTATAATAATTCACTATATAACCTGAAATAAGGCCATTTTGGGATGATTCCCCATATATAAACCATGATTCCAGTGAGGTCGCAGTGAGGTCATTATAATTTACCCAGATATATGGGAAAATAATCCAGTCATGTTCCAGTCACCACCAACCGTTGATCAGGATTCACTCGAGGAAAATTCATGCTTTGACTATGTTTGACCTGGGATTGAAGTGATTTTACCACCAAAGATGGCGAACACATGTGATAAAACACTATAATACAGGGGAATTGGGAACCTGTTCCGTCATTTTTGAAGCTAGGTATGATCATAATCCAAGAGTTATGAAATAATTATCTATTTTTGGCATGAGGAAACTTGGTTGATTTCATTGTAGACCTACATGTGGTTGATTCCCCTTTTCGTGGCAAGCTTCTGGTTTTGTCCAATCAGGGCATGTTAGAGCTATGCAACGAGCTAATTGAATGCATTGACAACGAACAGTCAACCTTGGAATTCAATGTTAGCTGCAGACATCATTTATCTTAATTCTTAATTTTATCTTAATATTTACCCACCATCTATTTATATATATAAAAATCATTATAAATCACTTATCTATACTTATCTATCTGCCCATGGAAGCCACCGGCTATTTTCCAGCCGCCGCCGCCGCCGGCCTCGACAGATAATCCACCAGCAAGGCAGGCCTCGACAGATCAATTGAAAAATCGCCGGCGGGAGACAACCCGCGACGAAGGGTTTCCATAGTCATCGGATGTCATCGGGGATCCCTGGAAACCCCAAAGATAGTGGGTTTATGTTGGTTTATAATGGATAATGGAAGAAAACCCATGTTTATAATGGACAATCCCATTAAATAGTTGGTTTAGGTCATGGAAAATACCATTAAACATGGATGATCACCGTGTTTAATAATTATGGAACGCTAACATTTTGCTATGGAACATCACCATGTTTAATGGGTAAATCATGGTAAATCAGCTAAATCACCTAAATTTAGGCGTCCGCCCATTTTAGGAAAACTCGAGTTTTCAGGAACCGATAACTATTGGAGGTACCTGGTTGATAATTTTTAATGATATTTAGGGACACTAATTTTGTAGGGCGGCCCATTTGTTTAAAGGGGACATGACATACCCCCAATTTCCATGGCTCCAGGTATCGTACATAACATCGCTCCAGTGGATCGGTAAATGGCAAAATCTTGAGACCATTGAGTGAAGCATCACTTGATTCCTGGTTGGTGGTTGACCTACCAGGTAGTGGTTAATATACTGTTAATATATGGTTAATGATGGTTATGATGATGGTTAATGATGGTTAATAATAATCTGTTTGCTGGTGGAGCTACCCCTCTGAAAAAAATGAGGAAAGTCAGTTGGGATGTGGACATTGGACATTATATATGGAAAATAATCCAAATGTTCCAAACCACCAACCAGCAATGCTCAGGGTTTCACATGCGTCACACACCGGAATCCAGCTGGTTTCATGGCAATTTCAAGGCTGCATAAAAGTCACATAAAACGAGTCGCATTGCTTCCCCTTCCTTTGCCATGCTGCAGCTACAATTTGGCGCCCCATACTTAGTTAAGTTGGTTAATGACTGCAGTAGTTTAACTATGATTCATGGTAGATATATACATGATAATATATATATAATACATATATATATATCTGTAGTTAATGAGGTCTATAAACCAACTTATAACTGGGGCGGCACCACCGTGTACTGGGATGTCGTGACCCATAGTCATGGCTAGCTATGGCCTATGGCCCCACAAATATCCGTAGGGATACGATATGTGAGTACGATGACTGATGGGAAAATCATCACTTAAAATGAATAAAATCAATTATAAATGGAGGTTTTGATGGGAACATCTTCTGTTTCAATGTGCCATTTTCCATACCTAAAAGAACCAAAGGGTGTATAACTTACCATCTGCTTATTTAACATAGCCATGGAAAGATCCACCATGTTTAAGAACGGTAAACCATTGAAGTAAATGGGTCATCTATCCCATGGCTATGTTAGTCATAACCAGAGGGTAATCAGAAATCAGCCTTCGGATGATCTCATCATTGCAGCCACAGCGAAAAATGGTGTGGTCAGGCTACAATCCACACATGGTTGGCACTTGAACCCCCATCGAACATGCTGCTAGTACAGTAAGATATATATATAACATAACTGGATGTATAGACCCTTCTTATTGTTGATTGTATCCCAACAAAAAGGTTTATTGTTGTTAAATCAGAACCCTTACAAATTGTTGGTTCCTTATCATTGGTACCCTCTGGTGAAATCACCGTTTTCAACATGGATCTATCATCATAAACATTGGCTTCGCTATGAATTCATGGACTGATGAATACTGAGGACCATCCTCTTATAGGATGTGAAGAATCATGAACCCCCAAACATATCCCCACAGGCCCATCCAAATCATGTCACGGGCCGTGCTTGCGCTCGTTGAACCATGCCTGTAGTTCTTGGGGCACTGGAAGTTCGGGCCATGGCGGCCATTTGTTTGTGTACCCCTCCTGTAGTGAAACATGGTTTGCTGGAAAATACTCAATTTAGTTCGATGATTTTCCCATCAACACCTCCATGTTTTGGGGGAATTTTCCAGCAAACCATGTTTGATGACCACCGGAGGGTAAAAACGAAAACGCAACTTGAGATCTATAAATGGGTTACTAACCTGGGCGTTCGACAAGTTCCCATCCCAACAAAAAGAGGGACTGTAAACCATTGCTAAAGCATGCATGCGATTGAACCGCCAATCAAAGAGTGGCTAACACCCCAAATGTTCAAATAGCACCTGCAATTCACCAGGGGTGCCAATTACCAGTCAAATCAATGATATGTCTGTTCTATATGAATCATTTGACGATTTTGTATATATATATATATAAATACAATTATATATATAATTGTATATGATTTATTTGATATTTGATGTATATATATATAGTATATAGTTAGATGATATCGCAATGCTTCTTGTTGATTCTTCATTGGATCCTTTATCGACAAAGTTGTTACTGCATATCTAATGGATTAATGGGAACATATAGAAACATTCTCATCCCAAAATGGTCAGAATGATCGAATAGGAACGTCACGGCAAATCTTCATCAAATGTCATCAATATGTTTTGGGGTCAACAAGCCAGTATAATAGGCAATGGAAAATCACATGTAATGAAAATATGATTTCATCATATGTATAACTACTCTCGAGTAATCAAACATGGCAATGGAAAATCACAAATGAGCATTGAATAGGGTGAAATCATCTATCAATGGCTGTTTTCTCCATGTTTGATGACACCCCTCCGGGTAGCCGGTAGCCACACATCGATCAAGGACTGCCCGACTGCCCGACGCAGGCGCCTTCCGTTCACTCTCGCGGCAGAGACAGATGGCCGTTGCACACACTGCCGCCTCGCGACAAGGGTACCCCGCTGGAGCGCCCGCTGTCCCGTTTTTGTCCCTTTTAGCACGTGTTCATCGCACTGCTGTTCCAAGGATATGTGTCTTAAATGAGTAGAATCACAAAACAAACATAAACAAACTATGAAATTAATCAGTAAAAACAGTAACATGGTACATTCATGTAAGGCGGTTTCCCTTTGTTTGGCCATATCCTCATCAATCCCAGATCTTGAAGTGCGTGACCGTGTCAAATTTCATGTTTCTTCATGGCGAAATCAAAAAATATCCTTGATGCTGAAATCTCATGTGTTTAATAGTTAAGTTCAATCTTGTTAAATCATGTTAAATCCATATTTATGGTTTCATGAATCTATAGGATCTATCCATATTTTAATGGTTTTATAGATCCAGATTTATGGTTCCATCAATAAACGATGGAATCATTTGTTTTATATGGATCTATATAGGTTGACATGGTTTCACCACTTTTAATTCAATGGATTGGTTTGAGGGAAAATCGAAACCGGAAACCAGAGTTATTTTCCCATTATTCATATGGGGTTTTCCGGTGTAATTTTTCCCGACTAAACCAATCCAGTGATTAATTACCCTCTGGTAATTTAACATAGCGAACTGGAAAATCACCATTTTTAATGGGAAAACTCACTATTTCGACTGGGCCATTTTCAATAGCAAACTGTTAGTTTTCCAAATATGCTTGGAATATCCCAATATTTCCCATATATCAAATATGGTATATCCCATAATATCCCAAATATGGTTAGTTTACCTCCAGTGATATACAGGTTGACATGGTTTCACCACTTTTAATGGGAAAACTCACTATAAATGGCCATTTTCAATAGCTTTTTGTATGTTTACCAGAGGGTAATGGTTCCATCCCAACACTTCGCCATGGCGGTTTCCACCCCAGATGAATTTCACTCACGTCACAATTCACGTCACCTGCGCGCCCGAAAGCTGGATCACCACTGATCGATCTCCTGGACTTATTCGTTCACTGGTTCATCATCGACCATCTAACTGAATAAATTACGTATATATATATATAATTATATATATATACCCTATGGTTATTTAACATAGCCATGGAAAATGGTCCATTTATAGATGGTTTACCTATTTAAAATGGTGGATCTTTCCATGGCTGTGTTGAATAACCAGATGGTATATGTATATAATAGATTCAAATAGCTTCTGGAGTGCTTTTTGGGTATATTTAAAGTGGCCAAGTACTCTTTTATAAAGTATTTGGATCCATAGGAAAATAGATCTTCTGAGACAATTGGTGTGTACAATCAAAATAAAGACACAAGAACACATATCAACGTGTTCAAGTCTGTACAGTATCGTATACCCCATATGGCTACGGGTCGCACGGGAGACCAGTGGATTTTCCGCATGGTGGTTTCCGACAAATCCGGCTACCCCCAGTCATCATCCATTTCTAGATGATTTTCCATTATAAACATTGAAATACAATGACATATATAGATTGAAGAACAGTAAATGTACATGTTATATAGTGTATTCATAAACCATCTAGCTATTTTGGGATAACCCATTTATGGAAACCCCCGCATCATTCCAGCTCTCAACATCTCGGGTGTCCTCCACCGACCAATGCTGTAGCTGTAGCTGACCTGCCAAGTCGCGGTGACAGCTCCAAAGTGACATGGTGATAGAGGATTTAAAGGGATTTAATGGAGATTTAATGGGGATCTAATGGCATTTATAGTAGGTTTGAATGGGGATAATATTCAATGGATTTTAATGGGACTTTACCCTCCAGTAAACTAACATAATTATGGACAATACTAGTAACATTTTTTATAGGTAAATCATTGAAGCACATGGCAATTTTCAATTGCTATGTTGAATTACTGGATGGTAAACAATAGTATACACATAATCATGTGCAGTGACGCTGCTTTGACATCGTTTTAACTTATACACATATTTGGAAACATATGAGGGTTTTGTTTGTCCAGGAATTCTATGCTCGGATTTGATTAGAAGCATCTGCTTGGTCTGGTACATAGGTCTGTCTCGAACTAAAAAAAATGCATGACAATGCAACAACATGGCAATATACTGATAAGGAAAGACCAGTTTGGAAAGTTTTTGGATAAACCAAAAATCAAGGCTTTATCACTATGGATTAATGGCAATATATCCAATCCATGATAAGGAAAGTGGTGATAAACAGAACAAATTTCACCGTCTTGGTCAATGTTCATCCCACAAAATGACCTATCATTGCTTTCATCCCATACAAAACATACCCTGTCCTTATGTCGTCCGCTATTAACTATACTATATACATAATATCTTCATTGTATCCCGTCTTCTCCAGTTATATTCTCATTCTACCTGATTGTCGATTGTTGGTTATGCCCCACTTATATTCCTCTTCTGGGTCCATGATCAACCGCATATTTCCCGAAGATATAATATATATATATAATATGTTTTTTGCAAAAACATCTTGGATATTCCCATGTTCCAAGAGATTGGATATCCCTATAATTTGGATATCTTGGACATGCCGAATGATTTCCCAAGCACCACGCCTGCTTCGCGCGACCCTTAAAGCCTCTTCAGCCGTGAAACTGCACGGGCCCACGGATCGCAGGTGTAAAGTCACCTCGCCAGGTGGTTGTCTGGGGCAACTCAAAATCACCATGTCTTTTTTGGAGGAGGAACACAAAAAACAAATACAGTAGGTATTTAAATGTTGCATGAATATGAGTATGTATGTATATATATAACATTATGTTAATGTGTATAATTAGTATGTGTATATATATATAATATTGACGGCGCGAAACTTAGAATGGGATTAAAACAGGCGAACAGTCTAAGTTAGACCCTACTGCTTTACTTAGAATGCCCCTATTAGAATGACCCCTCCGTTTGATTCATGTTCCAAAAAATGATGTTGCTACATGAAAATTGCCCCTCAATTTCCTTTAGTGTCACTATCTGTCTTTCATTTTCAGTGCTTTCTATGGACACGTTTTGGGAAAGAAGACATGCCACCTCATTTTTCCTTCCTTTTCCTGTCCTTCCGTTACATTCTCCTCCTTTCATCTTTCCTGACACATGTTGTCGAAAAACAGCACGCTGAGACACTTCTGTCGAGTCAAACCTGTTTTGCATGGCGAAAAGGGCAGGCATTCTATGATGGAAAAAGTCACTGGAGGTTACAGCATTCAAAGTTTGTGCTGCACAGGCACTTGCATACCAAATATGGTCGAAATTCAAAACTGCGGCTGGGAAGAGAAAAACAGTCCTACCACTCATCCAAAGTTCTTGAACGTCACTACATCGACATATACTTAATGCATCTTGATACTTGATTTTGTACATCTTTGTTTCACCAATATCATCATGTTTTGCTTAGTGGGTTCCCTGCTGTGTTGCGCATTTCGTTAACCTGGCCGGAGCTGCCAGAGGGGCCAAATCAATCCCTAACCCATGACGGATCCATGGTGCTGCTATATATGCTAACATAAAGGGGATATATTGATGGGATCCATGTTACCATATATAGCAGCAACATGGATCCTATGGCTAAGGATCCATGGTGCTGGAATATTTACCAACCAGTTGGGATTACTTTAAATTACTTTAAAAAGGTCAATGTAGGTAAATATTCCAGCACCATGGATCCTCTGGGAATATGTTCTATGTGTCAATCATCTTAAAATCCTAAGTGTGGCTCGCTCACCCAAGTTTTCATCATTGAATCATCCCATTCCATGATGCTAAACCGCGATGCTTAAATCCGAATTGCTCACCTTTTTTCATGCTTAGAATCCCATAGAATCCCATAGAATCCGCCTGTGCCCCTGGTGCCACTGCTTCCTCTTGCGGCCTCGGCATGCCATCCCTTGTGGAGATGTTGAAACGTTTAAAAAACGCTGCAGGATGGGGCCCCACAGTTATAAGTTGGTTTATAAGTGGCTGAATTTATGGATGTTTATGGTAGATATAACTATAGTTAATGGATTATGGTAGTTGGTTTGTGGGTAAATCTGATTTATCTATCTATAGTATCTATAGATGATAGACATGGAGATTTACATCCCATTTATAGATGATAATCCCATTGACCCTTCGGTAAACGTTTACATAGCGAACTGGAAAATCACCATTTTTCATAGGTAAATGGCCATGTTCAATAGCAAACTGTAACAAATTACCAGAGGGTAATTATACATGTTTATAATCTGGGATTGTCATGGTCTGTTTTTATATCCAACAAAAATCGGCGGGTCACAGAATTGTGACCACGTTCCCCGAAGCTTTTTCACTCGGGTGTGAAAGTTACGAACCCCCTACGACCCTAGCCTTTGAGGTATAGCTATGGCAGCTAGGCCCCATCAAAAATCCCATGATTTACCTTAAGAAAAGATCTCCAAACAGCATCTAAAAATGGTGTGTTGTCCCGTAAATGTTCTTGGTTAATTTAAAATTGTCTTTACCCATCTAACCATCTAATCCCATCCAAACATGCAGTTTTTTCGAATCGAATCCAAGAAAATCCACCAAAAAATCCCGGCCGTTTCTCACAGGTCTTCTCAAGGACTTGATTCCTCACGGTAATAGCCTATACATTCACATATAATTCAACATTTATAACATATCTCAATGTATCCCAAATTCTTCTAAATATATTCCATACATGTATGTGGTAGATGTTATATATATATATAATACGTATATTTATCTATGTATGTATCTGTATAATTATGTGTATATATATATACGTATAGATATGAATCCGAGCATATCCCAAGTTATCCACATCTCTGTGAATCAGGCTCTCCTCCACCCGATGGCTTCTTTGATCCCGGACAGCTGCCAAAGCAACGCACAAAGGTCCAGCAGGGCCTCGAGACATGCCTTTGACCTTGGGGATTTAACATTCATTTATATAACCATCCAAGTCTTAACCATCCAACACAAATTCCAGCATTTCATTTATTACACAAAAATTACATCAAACATGTTGACATTTGATCAACATTGATGATTTAACCATCCCTTAGATGGCAATTTGATTAGAGGATGTGTTGTGGAGATTTGACCTTTCAATTGGGATTTGAACCATAAAAAACCATATGGCACGTGGATAACATGTTCAGACTTTACCATCATACCCTTTTCGATTTGAAGCATAAAATAAGTGGAGATTGAACCATCACCCATGGTTAAACAATGGATGATTGAAGCATCCATGGGATTTGATGGGGATGAACATAGTACGTATATTATTTAGCTTTGTGATCTAATTGGGGATATTATTTTTATAGGTGGTATAAACTTACCATTCCCAGTCATGGGTGGCTTATGACATTGTTTTACCCACATTACAACAGATGATATGTTACATACAACTAAATCCTACTTGGTGGTATACCTACCCCTCTGAAAAATGATGGAGTTCGTCAGTTGGGATGATGACATTCCCATACATTATGGAAACATAATCCACATGTTCCAAACCACCAAGCAGAATAGGATTATACATCCTAGGGATAATATTAAATATCAATTGGGATATCATAGGATTATTCGTTTAAGTGATATTATAGTATGAATATCAAATTGAGATATAATAGGATTGTTAAGGGGGATACCCTCTGGCAATGTGTTACAGTTTGCTGTGGAAAATCACAAGTCTTTCTAAGATATTAATAGGCACATAATCTATAAACGGGTCATTTTCCATAGCTATGCTAAATTATCCCAGAATACCAACATTTACTGTCTGGTAATCAAACATAGCAATGGAAAACCACCAATTTATATGATTCATAGATTTTCCCATTTAATCTCATTTAAACGCCCGTTTCTAAGACATGTCCTATTGTCATGTTTGACTACCACGAGGTACAGTACACAAAAAAGTATCCAAGGGTGTAGGTAGATATAGCTGTAATACATGAAACATACTGTATGGGGTATTATTTCGAACTGAACTCAAATTTATTTCAGCCATAAATTGGCACCGGATTCCGAGTAGAAACTAAAAACCAGTGACACTCCTTGAAAACAAACCTGTAAGAATTGAGATATTTCTCTAAGGTTATTTAACAGTTCGCCATGGAAAATCAACATGTTTAAGAACGGTAAACCATCTATTTCTATGGGCCACCTATACCATGGCGAACTGTTAGTCATAACCAGAGGCTATTTCTCACAGCCTCACTCGGACCACGGCACCATATTGGATCCATTTCTCAGCACCAATTTCTCAGAGAAAAGTCACCCGAAAATGGAAATGGAAAAAACCATGGAAAAACAATCTGGCTGAGGGACTTCCCACTGGGATTTCCATGGTTAATAATAATGGTTAATAATAATGGTTAATGATGTTTAATAATTGTTAAATCATGGTTATATAATGATGATGAATGGTTAATAATGGTAAAACAAATGATGGTTAATGATGGTTATATTGGGATACCCGGTAAATTAACATAGCTATTGAACATGGCCCAGTCGAAATAGTTTTGATTTTCCCATGAACAAATGGTGGATCTTTCCATAGTTTTTTCGTAAACGTTTACCACAGGGTAAGAGAAAAATCACCCGAAAAATCACTGGATCAGTTTACCGGTGGTTCTCCTGGAGCTGAGAATGATGCATGCAGTTTCGAAAGGTAGCTGCCAGCTATCTCTATACCTGGCACCGCATGAAGCTGGATGTCACAATGTGGGCTAGACATAGAGGGGGAAAAATTGCAGTTGCCACTGATTTAAGGGGGATTTACTTCCGTTGTTGTGATTTTTTTGGTTGCTAAGATGGGAGAAATTCATTGAATACTACTTTGCTAAGATTAGATAATTACAGTACCCAACCAAAAATATATTATGTATAAATATGCCACATTTACAACAGAACAGATGAACATATGAATTATAATATGGTTAGGAAACTCTTAGTCTTAGTAGCTCCTTCTCTCCCCATCGGCCTCGATTTAGTTCGAGGATTCTCCAGCTAGTCGTGTTTGATGACCACAGGGTAACCATAAAAACATATAACAACCACCATAGAAATCTTCATTACCCATGAATTCGTATGAATCACCATTAATCATATAAATTACATTACCGCTGGTCCATTATCATATAAATACATTACATTGATTATCATATACATAATAACAATCATTGGTTGCTACAACCATTAAAACTACATCGCATCTGGATCCGTGAAAAAGTCTTAGGATCCGTACAGTCGATATCAAGAGCATCAGATTTGCTGTGAACCTCAGAGCAGGCAGAGGGCAAAATGGAACCATATGGCATGGCACTGGTTTCATTTTTTTACAGCTCTTGTCAACATGAATATGGATTGTACATGTACATATATATATATAACTATTATATGATGAGAAAAATGGAAAAGAGTAGAACATAGTAGAACAATGGATATGTACTCACGAACAGTTTGTAAGAACGGTTAAGATACACAACATTGTAGATACAGTCTCAGTTCCCACGAGAACAACCAATCAGCAAACGCTCCGAAACATTGCTGGGAATTCATCTCTCAGCTTCCAAAGGCTGAAGTTGTGTAGCCGCATTTGTTCTTCAGCTGATTTCTTCGGCTACAGCGGCTACAGCAAGAAAAAACATGTGCCGTCGCAGATGGCTCGCTCATCTGAAACATTTACCATCACTTGGTCCAATTGTTTGTCTGATACTAAATAGATTAGCTTGGTCCAATAGATTCTCGAATAATTACCATCTATTTTTCACCAAGTGATTGTTTATCTGAAACATTTACCATCTATTGGCTCATCGAATAGATTCTCGAAGAGACTGTTTGGATCATGTGAGTAGCAACTATCTGGCTCCATTCAAATATCATCTGGTAGTTAAGCATAGTTTAGTTATCCATAGTTTAGCATAGTTTATCATAATATCTTAACTATCTGGTAATCTAAGTAGTTTAGCAGAGTTTAACCATGGATAATTACCCACTTGTAGGCGAGTTACCTCTTACACATGTTCAATGGCTAAATCACCAGATGGCCAGATCAAATTTCTGTGCTTCGCTACCGTTGTCTTGAGGTTGGTATGCTGAAATTCTCGGAATCATGGCCCCAAACAAATATTCAGAATATTCCCCTGTGAATTGGGGGGTGGAACTTGGCTGCTGTGATTATTGTGATTTTATAGTCTTAACTAATCTTAAATTGGGGGAGCACAGGTTGAGGAAGCTGGGGGGCACCTGCAAAATCCATGAATACCTGGTGTCAAACATGGACTAAGCGCCCACACTCGCGTCGCAGCTCCAGAGTCCTGGACTCCGGCGATTTCGGTGTTCAGTGAACAATGGGGGGGCGATGAATGGAGATTTCACATGATTTGGGGTTGGTCAAAACCTATTGCTATCAAATTGAGTGGGATGGAGATCTATTTACTAGCTATTTGAAGGTTCACTAGGTACCAGGGTTTTGACCCATAGCCATTTAACCATTGGATTTAACCATCAACACACCGGTTTTTCATGATTTTTTATTGATGTTTACCATCAAAACAAATAATCAAATAACCATAGATGATCCAGGATCACTGTTGTGACTGTTGTGATCATCCTGTTGTTCTTGGTATCTGTGTCTCAGGAAACCTGTTCTGAAACCAATGGTCCAAGGGGTACCCACGGCCTGGGCCATGGTCAAGGTAGTTGGATTAAAAAGTGATTGATCGATCCCGAAATAAAAACCAGGTGATTTCATAGGATATTCAAGGCGATTTTAGATGATATTACCCTCTGGTTATTTAACATAGCCATGGAAAATCACCATTTTTAATAGGTAAACACAGGTAAACCATCTATAGGTAAACACAGGTAAACCATCTATTATACATATATATATAGGTACCCTCTGGTAAACATACAAAAAGCTATGGAACATGGCACATTTATAGTGGATTTACCCAGCTAGAAAATGATGATTTTCCATAGTTATGTTAGTTTACCAGAGGGTATATATATATAGATTTATAAGCAACTATTGGATAAAATTGGATGCTATGCTGATACTATCCCTTTGTTTGTGAGATGGTCATCAGTCCATTCATAGGGATTTATGTACAGTATATATATATATATACATACCCAGTGTAAGGATTCCCAATATGGGATGGCCATAGCCCATAGCCCATATAAATGAAACATATGGACATTGTCAAACCTTTTTTATATGCCCACAAACACAGATTTGCATTATGCGAACTAGTATACTTAGTAAGAGTTTGTTCTCCCTGAAATCATTCTATTGTTGGTAACCTGGAGAAATGTTCAAATCAAAACGGATAAATACGTAATAATACGTATCTACTAGGAATCCACTGCAAGTTTTCCATAGATTCAAATTTTCACATGGCAGTGTGTCAAAACCCTGGTACCTAGTGAACCCCAAGTCATAGCTGGGATTTATGGATGTTCATCCCACTAAAAATGGTATTTTCATAGGTATTGATCCATACCCATTTCAGGAACCTAAATTGGAGGTACCTACCATATATAAGGCCTACTAGGAATCCACTGCCAGTTTTCCATAGATTCAAATATTCACATCTTTTTTCCAACCATTGAGCCGTTGTCAGATTTCCTCTTTGATCTGATTCAGCAACTCGGCGTAGTCTCCGGCCGACTCGGACAAGCGGGGAGTGGCACCTGACCCAGTTTTCGAGCCATAAAAATTCTGAAGAAAAATAAAGGTTCAAACAACCAGAGTGGGGACTCAACCTGAGATTTAACAATCAATAAGTAGTGATGACTACCCTCTGGTAATTTAAAATAGCTATTGAAAATGGCCGTTTATAGTGGATTTTCCCATTGAAAATGGTGATTTTCCATAGCTATGTTAGTTTACCAGAGGGTATATGGTTTCATGATGTTTAATGAACAGACATGAAAACAAAACCTGTCTGCGAATCCAGTCAGCGTCAAGGGCGACAAGAGCAATGGAGCAAGAGAAAGGCCTACTCAAAGTCGCCCAAAGTCGTCCCAAAAGATTTCCGGCACTTTGAAAAGCGACAGAAAACCCAGCAGCCACAACTCCTACAGTTTCACACATTTCTTCGTTCTGGGTGAGACACCCAGCACGAAGTTCTCCGTCGAGACATAGTCCCCCGCAATCTCCCCATCCATCAGATCCTGCGAAGTTGGCAATCAGACTTTCGCCAAAGAACAGGAGATTGCAACTAAATTTGGCAAAAACACATCAATAACCCCATGAACCATCCCCAATTTTTTGGGGTTTCTTATGGGGATGTATGGGAACTTATTGGACGCTGCACATTGAGAAAATGTTTGAACATGTAGTATGTTAGTGGGTTCTGTTACTTCTTGCAGTTATTAACTAGTTGGATACATCATATCCATTTATATCCACCATGACTCCTAGTTACACTTGTTGTAAACCAACTTGCCTACATCCCAATGAGTTCTCTCACCATTCCCAGGTTCATGTTCCTCATAGATCAACAAAAAGGCCCACATCTGAACCCTGGTCTCCTGGTGTTTACGCCGCCGTGTTTATTGGAGTTTGTTTCCCTTGTTCATCATGTTTTCACATTGCTTTGATCGACTCCATATGACTCCATTTACCATTATCACCCCCATGTTTATTTGAGTTTAAGCGTTTAAGCAACTTTAAAACATTGCCAATGTTGATAATGGGGAATTGCGGAAATTCATCAATCATTGTTGACACATTTAAGTATTGTTGAGTTAACATAAATCCCACGTATTATTCGAACACTATTAACCACTAAACGTATTATCTTTGATCAACTACTGGTACTATTCGTGGTAATTAAAGGATGATCTATTCATGGAAAATTGGATTATAGTATCAACATGTATCAACTTTTATGGTATTGATGAACCAGTTAAATGATTTAAATGGTGCTATTGCTCTACACAGTTGTTCCTCAATCCCCAGAGTTCTTCCATCATTGAATCCCATCCCCCTGAGGCAGCTGGTAAATACCAAAGTTTATTGGTTATTCTAAGGAGTTGTGCTGATTATTATCACTGGATTGGTTTTGTTGGGAAAATCGAAACCGGAAACCCATGGTTTTTACCATCAAATTTGATGGGCTTTCCGGTTAAAATGTTCCCATCATCCAATTCTATGATATTAGGCATCACCAAATAACTCACCCATATGAGGGAAACCGATTTCACGAGCATTTCATGAGATGGGATACTTGGAGTTGCTAACCCGAAACCCAACAAAAATCGAAGAAAAAAAACTATAGATTCCCAAAGTATTGGATTCGAAGAAGTTCAAGCAACTCAATCTAACTCATTTTCAGCAAATTAAGATATTCACTATAGATTCATTAAGGCTATTGTAATCCCATTCATGGCTATAGATTCCCATTCTAACTATATATCCCATGATATTTTCCACTAAATCCATTAAATCCACCAGATGATTCTCCCACTAAACCAGATCACCATTAACCACCATTAACCAGCATTAACCAACCATTAACCAAACACTAACCAACCATTAAACAAACTAACCAACCATTAACCAACCATTAACCAACCATTAACCAACCATTAACCAACCATTAACCAACCATTAATCATTAATCGTCATTCATCATCATTAATTACCATGAATTAGTCATTAAGCCACTATTCCCTTTCCTCCAACAGCAGCTGCCAGGGTGGCTCGCAGCTCACCACCGCGCTCCAGCGAAGATAGCGCCGCAGCCTGCGCTGCAATGGGTTGAAATATAGCTGAAGTATTGCTAAAGTGGTTATATAAAGAAAATAAGGTTATTATAAACATAGCCATCATAATTTATTCAATAATGAATAGTTTGAGTTCGTTGTTCATATTTGATATGGTGAGTTTCTTTACGGATATTTGATGATCGTATTATAAAGTTATGTGTTATGAATGGTTATGCTATGCTTTATTTTCTTGCTTGTTCTTTTGATAAAATAGATTTTAGGGTTACCCAATTGTCAGAGTTCAAACCCACATTTTAATCCCACAGTTCAAAACGAACATTGGCGGTTTTAGTAGGATAAACTGTTGGGGGGGTGTTCTAACCATATGGCATGCACGTCAATTTTATTGATGGAATATCCCCAGCTTGATTTCCCCCCGTTACTGAAAAAATACACATAATAAATATGTAGTATGTATATATATATATATGTATGTGTATATATATATATATGTATGTATGTATATATATATATATGTATACATATATCTGTATGTATATATATATATAACTAATTATATGTATATACTGGGATGCACATCCAGGTCCCTGAGAATGGTCATTTGAATGAGAACACTGGATTAAAACATAAAACAAATGATTCTATGGGCATGGGTCAAAAATGATGGCTTAACCAGCAAATGCAGCAGATTTAACCTTCAACAAAATGGTTTACCTGGAGGGTCACATGACGAAGATGAGGACATACGTCACTAACTTGCTAACATGGACAGCATTTTCCAGCAATAACGATCAGTGGAATCTGGTTTATCTCATAATGAGAAAATATAACAATGGCCACATGGGAAAATCATGTTCTTAATCCCATGGGAGTATGAGATATGTTGTTTTTGACAACCTGATCGGCTTAAGATGCTTGAAACGAGTTTTTCGAAAAGCCAAGAAAAACCAAGTCCAAAAACAACAAAATCTGGAAGCTGGCTTTTGATTATGAAAACAATAGGATTTTCTGACACAAAATATTTTTTTTATTATATATAACTTAATTTATGTTGAAACTTAAACATAGATTTTCTGATCTCTTTCCATCTTTCTTTGGGGCTCCTACAAGGTGGTGCCCCATAGTTAGCTAGGTTGGTTTATAACTCCAATAACTATGGTTTATGGCAGATATAACTATAGTTAATCGGGTTTACAAACCAACTTATAACTGGGGGGCACCACCTTGTAGTCCTATTTTACTTAAAACCAGCACCCTACCGTCACGCCTCTGCCTCACCAGCTGTAGGGCCTCCAAGCTGAAATCGCTTCACGATGGCTTAGTGATTTTAATAGTGGTACGGTATTGATGATACTTTAATGGGATCTATTCATATATATATATGTATATATATATAAGTGGGATTTAATGGAAGTTTAATGACACTTGAATGATTTGTACATACATAATTATATATATACTGTATATTATATTTATACATATGTATATATATATATATATCTGAATTATAGTAGCTAAGTTGAACTTACTAAGTTGATGGAGAAAACTCCAATAACTATGTGTATATATATATATATGTTTTATGATGCTTATAACATCTTACAACACCTTACAACTATAGTAGTCATGGGGTGAACATAGACCAACACACAATACTGTGAGGCCCCACATTGGATGTGTATGGATGGATGGATAGATAAATAGAATTCAGTCCGTAAAAAATACTCAAGATGTAAGGGGATTCATCCTAAAAGGAGTGGCGGAAAGCTTTGTACATTCCCCATTTTTCCATGGTTTTCCCATTGGGAGAAAAATACAGATTGAGCAAACCAAGAAGCATGTCAATATCTCAAATTGTTCCTGCTAAAAGGCATTCCCCTTTGCGTATGTTTGGACATTGGATTGAATTGGAGAGCCTCTAACCACTGGGTGTCCCTATCAAAATTGACAAAGTTTCCACAATCTTCCAGGCACCCGTTCTGGAAAAGGAGCGAATCCAAAGTCTTTTTTCGGTTATCAACCTTGAGATCAAATTATTCTATATATTAATGCTAAATAACCGTGTTTTGGTTTACACCCATTTTGTAGGTTATTAATTCCCTCTGACCATTTGACAGTAAATGGCCATATGGGTGGTGTAATACCGAAACAAAAATCATGTGATTTCACGTGATTTCTCATGGTTTTTCATCATCTTAAATCTCCCATTTTCCATGGATAGTTGATGGATTTTCTGCCAAATCTCCCATTTTGGATGGTTTCAATCTCCCAACTCGAACTCTGAACTCGCCCGGCTGCAGCCCTGCGGCCTCACTCACACCCCCCGGCTTGCCCACCAAACGCACACGGCGGTAGCGGCGGCCAGTGACCTGACGAAATGGTGCGGAAACGACGTCGGTCGCCTGGGATGGTACCCAATAGGTCTGCGAAATTCATGGATGTTCAATTCCTAATTTTTTTGGGAATGTAGCTGGTTAATGTAGCCGGTTCATGATTAGCTGGTTATATGATCATCATATTCAATATTTTAATGATTCTTAATGGATGTTGACTCCACAAAATACGCTAATCATATGTAAAGTAACCGAGCTTTTGACCCAGATCTCCCAGCTGCCATTGCCAGCTGCCCCGGCCCCGGTGGGACCTCTGCGAAGCCCAAAACTTCCACCAAGAGCGGAACTTCTGCCATACGGGATCGCAAAGGTTCTGCCTGGCGATGACAGCATTGAAGAATGTGAAGGTGAAGTCATGGCTGGCTGTTTCAGAAACAGTTGATACCCTCTGGTAATGACTAACATAGCGAACTGGAAAATCACCATTTTTCATGGGTAAATCCAATTTGAAGATGAAGTCAATTGATGTTTTTTTTCAACATGGGTCATGACTGATGTCCCCATTGAACATCACCCAACCATGAATGGTATATGGTCTACTAGATGGCTACTTTTTCAGGTGATGTCCAATATACCCAAAATGGGACAGTTACCAACCCCCGTTCAAAGCGTTGATACTTGATGATATTTGGGGGCTGGGACTGTATGATATATAAATATATATGAATTGTTAACAAATTGGGATCAAGAAATCGCAAAGCATGGGATATGGCTCAGGTTGACCCCGAGAGTACTTGTAACGGATTCTTGTCTTACAAACTTAGAGAGTGCGTGAAGGTTGCCACTTAAAACAACAATGAACAACACATGGAGGTTTCCTGAAATGGGGGTTAGCCCTAATCATCATTAGACCATGACTTATTGAAACAACCATGGTGACTTGGGGATCCCCCATTTTAAGAATCACCATGAATCACCATGAATCACCCATATTCTGCAACAAGATGGAAGGGGTTTGCAGATCCACTGAATAGATTATCTTCCCACGGTCCAATGTGATAAACCCAAACCCGCCAAATTGCCCAGAACATCCGTGGACTATCTAATCTAACACTGTAAATGTAGGGTTGGATGGGTCTTGGGTTTATCACATTGCACCCAAATTCTACCTGTGATTTTTCATGTTCACTTTTGGTGCCCCAGTTAGCGAAGTTTATGTGAAAACTAGAGCTGCATGGTGACCTTGCAATAACCGAAAAAAAATGAATCCTAGAATAAGTCAACATGCAGTAGCTATATACAACATTCTAATGGATTATCATCTAATAGATGGTTAATATACTGTTAATATATGTTTATTGTATGGTTGATGATGGTTAGTAATAATCTGGTTGGTGGTATGCCTACCCCTCTGAAAAATATTAGTCAGTTGGGATTATGATTCCCAATATATGGAAAAATAAAAATGTTCCAAACCACCAACCAGAAAAAATAGTACAACTCATCGAACTAAATGGTCCATGGTTTCGCAAACGGATGCAACCGGTTAAATTACCAGAGGGCAAAAAAAACACTATTCAGACTTGTACGACACGAGGCACGAGAGGGAGTACGAGTACTAGCACTAGTATTACTATTATTGCTATGAGTGCTACGACTACTACTATTATTTCTACTACTACCAATACTACGACTCCTGTATACAATTACTAGTTCTACTACTACGACTACTATTGCTTTTACGACTAGTACGACCAGTAGTTTCGACTTGTACCACACTATTGCCGAAGGGTAGTGCGAGGGTCATACTACTTTGTCAGTACTTCTGCAAGTGTTACTACTACTACTACTACTACAACGATTACTATTACTATTACTACAGCACCATTTCCCACTTAATCCTTCAAATATATATTCAAACCATTTTGCTTCAGTATCATTATTAGCACCTAGGAGATCAGCTACAATTCCCATTAAATCATATATAATCATATGAAATCCCTATTTTTCTTGGTGAAATCACCATTTTTCTTGGGTTTTCCAAGGGTTTGCCATTCAGCCACGATGCCACGATATGCCCTGCTGGGCTATCGATGCCGCCTCCGCCGCAGCCAGGGCGATCTCGGAGATCTCCGCGCGGGCGGAGATTTGCTCAGCCAAGACCTGGAGGAAAAGTCGATGTACTGCCTGTATTTTGTATATATATATATATATTCATCATCATTAACCATTATTTAACCATCATTAGCAAACTGTTAGTCATTACCACAGGTTAATGGTTATTATATTTGCATATATATATATATGATATATAACTATGTAATATATATATATATTTGAAAACCTGCGCATGCATTTTTCAGGCACAGGGTTCACACAACAGTTAATAAATGGGAGGCAAAAGCCCAAGATTCAAACTGTACAACACTATCTAATCCACCATACACATTAACACAACCGAGGTTGGTAACTAGTCGCACGAGGATAAAGATCCCCTTGCACAGGTAAGGACCTGGGGTAAAGACCCATGAAAAACAGGGGGTAAGGACCCCACACAAAAGGAGGTAAAGACCCCCCATTGGTAAGCCCCACAAACACACGGACGGGTGGTGACAGGGGCCGGTGGTGGGTAAACCAAAGGCTGCAGCATGCTAAGTTTACAAATACCCGTTTCAGGTACGTAAACTCCCCTTCCACTAAATGCATTGAAAACCTGCGCATGCATTTTTCAGGCACAGGGTTCACACAACAGTTAATAAATGGGAGGCAAAAGCCCAAGATTCAAACTGTACAACACTATCTAATCCACCATACACATTAACACAACCGAGGTTGGTAACTAGTCGCACGAGGATAAAGATCCCCTTGCACAGGTAAGGACCTGGGGTAAAGACCCATGAAAAACAGGGGGTAAGGACCCCACACAAAAGGAGGTAAAGACCCCCCATTTATTCCCAACAAAAGGAAAACAGGAAAACAAGGGAACGTCCCCGTAAAAAGAACAAGGGAAAGGTCCCCGTAAGAACATGCACAAACAAGGGCACAGCCCTGTAAAAGAACAAGGGAAAGGTCCCCGTAAAAACATGTACTTACAAGGGCACAACCCCGTAACCCATTTATGCTCCGTTTTCCTCGCACCTTGCGAAGCGGACTGTAAAAGTGATGGAGCCGTTTGGCCCATTTGCGAACAGCCTTCTTCTGAGGCTGGGTCCACCGCATCTCAGCGAGCGCCAGAGCGCCGTCATCGATGTAAATTCGGGCGACGCGGGCATTAGCCCAGCGCCCCCGGGCCACTGTGGTATCGATGTTCCCACAGGTAAGAAAGAAGTACGTGGCCCCCCCTCGGCGGATGCCATATGGGGAAAAGGATGTGGGTGAAAACCCAAGGCAGCGAAGAAGCTGCTTCCAGGTTCGATGAAATTTGCGCAGGGACAGAGGCCACAGCATGGCGGGGCTGTCAGCAGCCGGCCGAAACCTTTGCAGAAGTTGTAAAACCAATGGATCCTCCACCCGCAACACTTGCGGATTGCCTTGAGAGGTCTTGCTGAAAGGAAGTATCAGGTTGATACACTGCTGCCCCGGCAGGACCAGCAGGTGATTCCATTGGAGATGCAGCATCTCATTGGTGCGCAAGAAACATCGAAAGCCCAGGATGAGCAAAATGGCTAATTAGGCCGGCTCATCTATGGAAAGGCACAACGCTGCCAATCCCTCGAGCAGCCCGACAGGGATGGGGGTTGCACGCACTGGCACATGAAGCCGTTGCCAGTTGCGGTGAAACTGTGATGCCGCAGGCAGCCGAAGTTTGAATTCAGGGATGAAACGCTTGATTGCGGACAAAAGGTGCCCGGCCACCGATAAAGCTTCGCCCTCTTGATAGAGGATATTGATGTATTCACTGAGATGTGAATCTAAATTGGACACTGACCGGATACGAAGTCGCTCTCGGGTCAGGTAACTCAGAAATTGCTGTAGTGCCTTGCCATATGCCTCCAATGTGCGCCCCTGCAAGCCTGCAAACTTGAGATGAAGCTTGTCAGGCATCCTGAACTGGAGGCGCCCGTCGGGACGCCAGATCCGCGAAGTTCCAGCGGCTAATGGTCCAGGCAACCAGGGGGTAGACGTCGGAGGCTAAACACAAGGCACATACTTTGCGAAGCAGCTTGTTCACTTGAGGCGAAGAGGAGCGCCCCTTGCTAATGGCACCCCGGGTGACCGCCGAATCCACAACATGCAGATAGCGAGTGGCATGAAGCCGGGTTTGACGCACCCGTCGCTTCAGCATCGCTAGGAAGGCACGGATCTCCAAATAATTGATGTGCTCGGAGATCCGCCATGCAAAGGAGAGCTTTTCTTTCCAAAACCACCGGTAAGCCGGGTAAGGCAACTCTTGAGGGGTCTCGTCCACCGTGAGAAAGAGCCGGACGTCTGCCCCCCGTATGCTGGCGCGCCGGGCCATGGACGCCAAGTGGTCCTTTTCCAGCCCTCTTCGCATACCTTCTTCAAGCTGGAACAGAGCCTGGCTGGCACGCTCACAGAGACCGGGATCTTGTAAGCGCTCCGTGGCTTGCCCAAGCTCATCTTGCAGCCAGGCCAGGCGCCCGTTCTCATAGCTCTGCTCGAAGAAGCCTTGCTCGGTGAAGTCTTGGCGCAGCCCTTGCGCAAAGCTTTTACACCAGGCAACTGGGTAAGCGGCTGCTTCTTCCGAGGGATAGTACAGGGTGCCGTCGTCTGCCAACTCCACCTCGTAACTTTTGAGGTGACCGTGATCTGTGCATTCCGGCTTGTGCACTGCCAAGGCAAGAGCCTGTGAATTCGTGAGCAGCGCCACCCACCGTTCGCGGTCCCCGTTAAAACAACAGGCAGACCCACAGGCATACGTATGACTGTCAGCCTCTAACTGGCGCGCAGGCTGCAGTTCCCAGATCCAGGAATCCCACGGGTGTTCAACACTGTGGAGTATGCCCTTCTCTTGACAGATGGTTCCACGCTTCAGACTCTTCATGGCCATGGCATTGCTCTTTCTGAGCTTCGTCTTCATGTCACCATTCAACCATGGCAGTCCCATGGTGTGACTCAAGTCACGGACCGCTTGGGGCCCACGGACACTGCTACCATCGCGCAAGCGGACAGGGCGTCCCCTGGCCTTTGAGAAGTACCTCGAGTCTGGCCCCCAGTGCTCGGCTCTCAGCCCTTCATCCTCCTCGAGCGCTTGCAGTGCAGCCTTTCCTGCTGGACTGAAGAAGTCATGCCCGTACTCCAAGTCGTAGGGCTCCTGCACCTCGATCCCCCCAATGCGCGCCACCTCCCTGGAGAGGACTGCTGTTCCTGCAAACCTTTCACCAAACCGGGGGCACTGATATGCCTTGCGACGGCAACTCCCAGCCCGGTGCCTCCAGATGCAGCTGAGGCCACACAAGGCAACCCCACATCCAGCTGGGCAAGGAAACCGGCCATCCCGGTCGAAGGTGCCTCCACACTGATGACAGGCCGCGCCGTCATGCTGGGTCTGCTGAGGCTCTCCTTTGAACTCCGAGGACGTTGCACCACCTCCTCCCGTGGGGGAAGCGTCCGTCACCGTCACCTCTTCGTCCAGGGTGGTGCGGAGGTTCATGGCCATCAGCGGGACCAGTGCCATAACCATGGTGATTTCGTCACGGCTCGCCGGCGAGAGATGCACCTGCCCCGCCTGCGCCCGCACAACATCCTGGAATACCGCCTCCAGGAGTGACATGAGCGGTCTCCGAAAGCTCATTCCGAAGATAGCTTTTCCGATCCAGTGCCGCAACTCGAACTCAGTGACAGTGTCTGCCGTCAACAAAGTCAGCGACAATCCGATAAGCTGGACCTGCTTGTCCACCGCCAGCTGGAAGACACCTTTGGTCCCATCCACTTCTCCACCTTGAAGAGAGCCTTGAGTCGCTGCCACCACGCGCTTTCCCTCGTTGAGAGGTAATCCCAGCCGGCTGCAGGTGTCCACAAACGCCCGATGATGATCGGACATGGTCCCTTCCAAGACAGCCCGGCAACCCCGGTTCACCTTCCTTAACTCGTCAAAGGAGTCCAAATAGATCACACTCACATTGGACCCAGCCGGAAAGTCGGCTGTTTTTCTGACTTCCGTGGCCTTTGGCACGCCACTCAAATCAAACACCAGGTGACGAACAATCGCCTGGGTGAGCGACACCGATGACAGCCACCCCATTGGTATCACCGAGATGGCTGGATACATCAGCTCTCCCGGGGGATAGCCAAAGGTGGAGGAGTCAACAGCCTTCCCAAATGCCGTAAACTGCGTCCAGCACCTGGGCAATGAGAACAAGTTGAAGCAGCTGGTGAGATCCTCAGAATCAATGAGTAGCTCCTCCGTGTGATCTAGATTGAACATGGCCAACTGGCCCAAATAGGGGAGATGAACATCGTCTCCTGGCAGATGTTTCTGAGGAATTGGCCGGCACCAGGTTCGATATGAACCGCTGCAAGCGGACCTCCCGGTCGCCGACCTTCTTGTACTTTGGAACCGCCATGGCTCCGTTGAACACGGGACGTCCCCGGTGATCGTGGAAGACCTCCTCAATTCTGAGGCCCACCATCATGTTGCGCTCCACCCCTGCCCTGCATATTTTGACCCACTCTTCTTGAGTGGCCCGCACTTTTGCAGGAGGCGGGGAGTCCGGCCATTGATCTTCTGGCAGGAGCAGCAGGCGGGGTTGGTGCAGCAACTCCTTCATTCCCTCTGGCACAAAGTGTTCGGCCTTCTGCACAGCGGCCTCCCCCGGCTTGGGCCAGCAAGGGAGGACCTTTTCCGCGATGAGCTCTTCCATCAGACACATCGGCTCACCAGCGTAGTCTAGCCTACCTTCCTTCAACTTCACCCTCAACTCTGGAAGAGGGGTGAGAAATTTCCCAGCGCTCACAAGCGCATGAACTGCGGCCCTTAGGCCCATGACGCAGTTATGCTGCGCTTCATTGTAACCTCGAAGTCGAGGGGCGGGGAGGTCCCCTCCATAGCTCTCATTTAACACCACCACCATCAGCTTGATCCATGCTCGTACATTCTCATCATCATCGGGGTATAAGTCATCCACCATCCAAGGAGGTAACGGATACATGTCAGTTGGCGACATCGCCCCGAGTGAACCCTGCCGCCTTTCACCACATTGTGCTTGGGCGTCTGCCATGCGCGCCCCCAGGCTTGTGCCGGAGTTTTGCAGGTGATAGGCCGCCAGGTGGACTGCCAGCCCGATCTTGCATTGATCTTGCATGACCAACTCCAGTGCACTTGCCAACGTCTCAGGTGGCCGAGCGGCCTGCTCTGACACCGACTCCGTCGGGTGACTCACTTCTTCCCTTCTTCGGCTGTCTTTGAGACCATGGGCTTGGCTCGCGGCTCTTTTCCGCCGCCCTTGCCCTTCTGGCTCTTGTCCCCCTTCCCTTCGCCCTTCGGCGGACGGGGGGTATACTGGGGCTTCTCGTACAGCTTGGCCTTGCGTTCCAGCAGGAACTCCTGACGTAGGAACATCTCCTCGTCCCGTTCCAACAACGTCACTCCGTCCGGAGGTAACAATTCCAGGAACTGGGCGCTCGTCCACTGCCCCTCCTGGGACGCCCTGTCTAACGCCTTGATCCTCTGGCCCAGTAAGTCTGCGCATTGGCCCGTCTCTCCCCTTGCTAGGAGATCCAGACCCTTCCCTAGGGTCCTCAGTTCGCGCTGAGTGCGCAAGGAGGCCTTTTGGCCGAGGGCCGGTATCAGGACCGTCAGCAGAAAGTGACTGGCCAACGGCGGGGTCACGGTGTCTTCGTTGTTCGCCCCCACGAGGTCCCTGGCCGAGGCTTCTCTCATCTTTATCAACAACCTCGATGCCAGTCGTCCTGGATATTTCTGGCTGTAGCGAGTCAAGCGCTGTTGACCGCTCTGATTCGCGGACCTCGCAGGGGCGTCCCGAAAACCCGAGTCTGAGTCAGAATCGCTGTCCTCGTCCCCCTTGTTGTAGTGCAAAGGCGGCCCGCCACCGAAAGGCCCCCGATCTGCACCGGCTTTCTTGGCGGCCACTTTTGCCGGCTTTGCGCTCCGGAACAGCCCGCCATCACCGGACTCACCGGGTGAACCTTCTGTGCTGCTACCCGAGCGCTCTTCCCGCCTCTTCTTCAGTGGCCGTTTTTCCTCTTCAGGAGTGATCGCTTTCTCCTTCTTCTTGCGCTTGGTCCTGCTGGGCTCGCGGCTACTCTTCTCCTCTTGCGAGGGTGAACGCCCAGCGCGCCTCCTGTCACGAGGCTTCTTATCCCCAGAGGACCTCCGTCCCCGTGAAGGCCCAGCTTCTCGTCGCTTCTTGCCCTTCGTCTTGGACTTCTTGTCGAGCTTCTTCTGAGCATCCCGAAGCTCTGCCTTGAGCTTTTTCAGGCGGCTCCGTACTTGCGCGGAGTCGCTGTCACTGGACCCCTCGTCCTCGGAATCGTCAGCAGCGTCGGCCTCTGGTGGGCGGCCATAAGGCCCCAGCGGTCCCCCCGCTGAGACACGACCCCGGACCAGCACCTCAAACTGTTCCAACCGCAGGACGATCGGGTCCCTGATCTCTTTGGAGCGCAGCCAACTGATACGGCCGTCCCTGACCTCAGACGACACCACATGTCGGAAGCGATCCGTATGGATCACGGTTGCGCGCTTGGGCCACTGCGTGCAGGTCCTCACGGAGTCCTCACACAGGTGATAGGTGGCCCGTTCACAGAGCGAAGCGCCACCCCCTTCTGTGGCCCAGTACCAATAGTACTCGTCAGAGGCCCCAAGGTACATCCCTTCGAAGCTCCGACCATGCTTCACCTCTTCGGCCCTCTTGAGGACTCCCACCAGGATCGTTCCTTGGCGATCTCCCTTGTCATCATAGCCATTGATTTCAAGGATGTCGTAGCGGGCAGGCTTGAACCGTTCGTATTCGCCATCGCCCGGGCTACGCCATCCCGTAGGCATCCCTTCGACGCCTACCACAACAGCCTTAAACCAAAGGCTGCAGCATGCTAAGTTTACAAATACCCGTTTCAGGTACGTAAACTCCCCTTCCACTAAATGCAATATATATCTAATTATCTACATGTGTCTAATCTGATCTGATCTGATTTAATCTATAAACAAAGAGAGAGGGAAAGTAAGGATTTACAAGATTTTAACTTGAATATGTGGTAGATACCTGGGCCTGTGCCCCTGATGAAGAGGTCCCTGGATTTATCACCACGCTCTATGCCCAAGGATTCACTTGTTTTATTCTGTTAATTATATACCCTGTCGGTCCAGGACCGCTCTTTTTAGGGTCCTCGGAATTGCTGACACTTAGGACCTGAAAAGGTACGCCCTCGGCATGTTCCCATTCGCCTTCCTTTTCAGGTCCCGGACCTCCCTGGGAACGTCCCTTTGGCTATGCTCGCCATGCTGCTTTGGCTAGAATCTCGTGAAACATGCCCCAAAATGATCCCGTATATCATGATCATATGTATCAAGAGCAGCCGAGAGCAAATCGAGAGCGAGCGAGAGCAAATCGAGAGCGAGCGAGAGCATTGCTGAGTAAGACCTCAGAAGTACACTCGAGGACCTGAAAAGGAGCCTCGGGGACCTGAAAAGGAGCCTCGGACATATAGAAAACCGAGAGCAAATCGAGAGCAAATCGAGAGCAATCGAGAGCAGATCGAGAGCAAAGCAAGACCGAACCGAGAACAATTTGCAAAGGCGCAAACAGTTATCATGGGGGCCATGATCATGATAAAATGGAAGGTGCCCTTGGCGGACCCTCGGCGAACCCTCGGCGGACCCTCGGCGCGTGGAACCTCGACAATGCTGAGAAACCCTCGGCGAATGTACCCATTCAGGTCCCCTCGGCAAGGACCACTCTTTTTGAGGTCCTAGGACTTTGAGGGATATATAATATATATATATATATCACATATAGTACCGCATACAACACGCCATTCAAGATACTCAGTTACACCAAAAATCTGTGTTCTGTAGATCGCTATGTAAACCCATTCCTTCTCAGCTGCATAAGGTTTTTTTTATTCCCTACTGTGATATACCCAGTGCCAGAAACCTGGCAAACGTTGGGGATAACGTTTATATTAAGTTTATATATGTATACATGGTGATTTTTCAATAGCTATGTTAGTCATTACCAGAGGCTACGAGGCTTTTTTCCATGGGGATGGAGATTTTTGGGACGAATGGGACGAATGACCCTCTCGTAAATCACGATGTTCAGAGGGAAATTATCTACAAAGTGGGGCCCCCTAGATAGCTAAGTTGGTTTATAACTCCAATAACTATGGTTTATGGTACTTATAACTATAGTTATTGGGGCTTATAAACCAACTTACAACTAGGGGGCCCCACATTGTAGCTGGGTAAATCCACTATTTCGACTGGGTCATTTTCCAGTTCGCAAACTGTAAACGTCTACCAGGCCGGGTATCCCAATATAGCCATCATTTACCATCATTAAGCTTGATTATATAACCATTATTAACCATTCATCATCATCATTAACCATTATTTAACCATCATTAGCAAACTGTTAGTCATTACCACAGGGTAAACCTCCATTTTCCTATGGTTTAACCCATTCTATATAACCATTATTAACCATTCATCATCATCAACCAGTATCTCCAATTGATTGCGGTCAAGTCAATTAAAAGTTCCATGAAAAACTGGTTGGTGGTTTCAACCCCTCTGAAAAATATTAGTCAGTTGGGATGATGACATTCCCAATGTATGGAAAAATATATAAAAAATGTTCCAAACCACCAACCAGAAAAGCCTCGTAAATCCCCCGGAAATGCCCATGAAATCGCCGTCCTCGGCGTCTCCGGCGCCAGATGTAAAGCCATGGGTTTGGAGCTCCGTGGACGCCCAGGTCCCAAGCTCCTGCGAAAACAACGGGAAAACCATGGGGAAAACGGGTGATTTATGGAAATACCATAGGAAAAACCATAGGAAAACCAAGAAACATGTTTGGGGATTTCATGGATTTATGGCTGATTTATGGCTGATAGTGATTTGAATGAAAGCTTAGTTGACGCACATAACTTGGTGAACTGTGGGGTTTATTGGGAATATGACGATAGTTGATGGGAAATCTCAACCAACAAATATGGGGGGCCTCACCTTGTACTATTTTAACGGGACAATCAATAATATCATAGAATATATATTGGTTGGTGGTATACCTACCCCTTTGAAAAATATGAAATTCAGTTGGGATGATTATTCCCAATAGATAGAACAATAAAAGCCATGTTCCAAACCACCAACCAGATATAATACGCGATGGACATATAATGATAGATGGTGTATATATATATATATGCACATTGAAACAACGAAAATCAACATTGGTCAAGTCACTGGGTACCGCCGCCAGTTGGGTAGTACCCCTGCTCTCTGTACCACCCCACGAGAGCAGCAAAGGCACCATTGTCCCCTCCTGCAGCCGCCACTGCGTTTGCCATGGCGGCTGTGGCTTGGTCTGTCGCTGCCACGTACCCTGCCACTGCCGTGTCGGCCCAAAGGGCGACCGTGGGTTCTGCATACGCTCCCTGGAACTGTGCCAGTCTGGCCGCCATTGGCCATCGCAGCAGGGTGTCCCCCGGTGCTGGAGGGAAGCACACCGTGGTGGTTGATGGTCCCATCGACCGGAGAGGTGCCGCCTGGGAGCTGACGATGATCTGCCCCCGAGACAGCGGTGTGGCCTTGCCGATGGCCCAAGCCTCTCTGACTGCTTCGAGGGTCACCACTGGGCGCATGGAGTCATCCACCGTCCGCGCGTAGTCTCGGACGCCAGAATTCTTCTGGGTCTTGGACAGCAGCCCAGCGACTGTGTCCAGGCCGAGCAGCGCAGCTGGAGGCGCTGCTGCGGATGTACAGGAAATATCAACCATACAACCTGCTTGGAAGGCCATGTCGGAAAAGTCTGATCTAATTTTGTGTGTGTGTGTTTGTTTAGTGTTAATTCAAAACATTTCAGAACCATATGGTGGTTTCCAAAAAATGGTGGTACCCCAAATGGATATTTTAGAATGGAAAATTCTACTAAACTGGATGATTTAGGGGTATCCCCATGTTAGGAAACCTCCATATAATTGGGATATAATGCCATATAATGGGATATCATGGGGATATAATAAGGATTGAATGGTACCCTCTGGTAAACAACAACATAACCATGGAAAATCACAAGGTTTACAGTAATGGGTGAATATGGGTTTGTCTGAAAATAGGGTATATTCCCAATGAAATAGCCATTTAATAGGGATAATGATCATCAAAACCATTGGGTAAAAAGGGGTACACTATTTTCAGACACACCCATATAGGTAAACCAACTATAACTGTTTTCTGAGTTGTGTTTTTTCCACTCTTCGTCGTCATGTGTCGGATGCAAGCCCTGCATAGACCAAATCAGGGAGAAGAAAAATGACCTCTCATCGTTTCCCGACTGCACACATTAAACATACGGTGGATGGTTGCGAAATCCTGCACCAGTTGATAGGTGGTTTATCCCATTATTTATAGGGTTTCAACATGTTTCAACCATCCTTTTGGTGGTGCAGGATTTCTTCCATCCACAGTATGATGTTGTGGTTGGTAAACTCATGGAAGTCTCAATGTCTTGTAAAAAAACAAACGTTTCCTGCTCAAAACCAACATGTTCAGGGGCTTAACCCACATAAATTCATCTAAATCAACTAAAATCATCTAGAATAATCTAAAATCATCTAGAATAATCTAAAATCCTCTAGAATAATCTAGAACAATCTAAAATCCTCTAGAATAATCTAAAATAATCTAGAACAATCTAAAATAATCTAGAATAGTCTAAAATCATCTAGAATAATCTAAAATCATCTAGAATAAGCTAAAATCCTCTAGAATAATCTAAAATAATCTAGAACAATCTAAAATAATCTAGAATAATCTAAAATAATCTAGAATAATCTAAAATCATCTAGAATAATCTAAAATCATCTAGAATCTAGAATAATGTAAAATCCACAGATTTTCCTTTTCAAAAAAAGCTCTGTAGAGCTGAGATCATCCACTGCGTCCGCGCCTCCGGGATCAACACTGCCAGCTCCACTTCGGCTGTGCGAAGGCCCAGCTTGCAGCCTCGATACCCGCGCAAGTTAGTTGATTTTCCTATTCCCATAGGATCCATGTATGCTATATATGGTAACATTTACCATCAATATACCCCCAATGTTAGCATATATAGCATACATGGATCCTATGGGTATTGATCAATGGCCATGTTTCACGGCGTGACCAGGTTGATAATGGGTTGATAGTTGATCTATCAGGAACATGAAAATCAACACTCAATGGCCATTTCAGGATCCGAAAATGGAGGTACTAACAACGTACCATATTTTTGGCCATATTTTGTGGGTATATTGAAAAATTAGGCCTGAAAAGAAGGCCTTATATATGGTAGGCACCTCCAATTCAGGTTCCTGAAAGTCCTATTAAATTAATACGAATACCCATGATATTATGAATATCTAACTATTAAAAATTGATTACCTATTTAACCTTTGTAGTTGATTTTACTATTAATATAAATACCTATGATACTATGAATATCTAACTATTAAAAATTGATTACCAATTTAACCTTTGTAGTTGATTTTACTATTAATATAAATACCTATGAATATCTAACTATTAAAAAATGATTACCTATTTAACCTTTGTAGTTGATTTTACTATTAATATAAATACCTATGATACTATGAATATCTAACTATTAAAAATTGATTACCTATTTAACCTTTGTAGTTGATTTTCCTATTTATATGAATACCTATGATACTATGAATATCTAACTATTGAAAATTGATTACCTATTCAACCTTTGTAGTTGATTTTACTATTAATATAAATACCTAATTATGATACTATGAATATCTAACTATTAAAAATTGATTACCTATTTAACCTTTGTAGTTGATTTTCCTATTAATATGAATACCTATGATACTATGAATATCTAACTATTAAAAAATGATTACCTATTTAACCTTTGTAGTTGATTTTACTATTAATATAAATACCTATGATACTATGAATATCTAACTATTAAAAATTGATTACCTATTTAACCTTTGTAGTTGATTTTCCTATTTATATGAATACCTATGATACTATGAATATCTAACTATTGAAAATTGATTACCTATTTAACATTTATAGTTGACTCTCCTATGAATTACCCATGATAAATGATCTCTGATACCAACGGTAAAACAACTATGATATGATTGGTGATACCCTCGGGAGAATCATGTCACCTTTTTGATGATCACATGTTTAGAGAGAGAGAGAGAAGAAATATAAATGCAGAATGACTTACAAGGTGGTGCCCCATAGTTAGCTAAGTTGGTTTATAACTCCCATAACTATGGTTTATGGCAGATATAACTATAGTTAATGGGGTTTATAAACCAACTTATAACTGGGGGGCACCATTCTGTAAGTCTATTGCCATTGAATGCTGGACCAACAAAGGTCACAACTGGCTACGGGACAAGGTCCCATACAAAACCCGGAGCTCAAAAAGGCGTGTTTTTCGGAGATCCCAGGACCTTCAGTAGCTTCCAATTTTTCGGAAGATACCCGTAGCTGCATGTGTTTAGTTTCTTTCCAACGTTGGATATTAACCCTCTGGTAATTTAACATAGCGAACTGGAAAATCACCATGTTTAATGGGAAAACTAACTATTTCTATGGCCAATTTCCATAGCTTTTTGTATGTGTACCAGAGGGTAGATATTGATGATATGGGAAGATACGGGGGTGGATCAAAAACCCCTTCGAAACGTCTTGTATACGTCACATTATACCATAAGTCCATTCATTTTTACCAATGATATGGGGATGGGTCAAAACCCTGGTACCTAGTGAACCCCAAAATAGCTGGGATTTATGGATGTTCATCCCACTCAAAATGTATCTATAGGTACAAGGTGGTGCCCCATAGTTAGCTAAGTTGGTTTATAACTCCCATAACTATGGTTTATGGCAGATATAACTATAGTTAATGGGGTTTATAAACCAACTTATAACTGGGGGGCACCATTCTGTATTGACCCATACCCATATCAATGATGTTCACCAGGCTATTTCCTTGAGTTTTTGCCCGCATCCCACAGCCCTTTTAACGTGGCTGCTCCCGGCCTGCGAACTGGAACCTCAGCGGGCGCTCCAAGGCAACCATCCGAAAAGAATAGAACTTCTACGGGAACAACGGTGATGTGTCTTGGTTCATGTTCCCACTCATATACTCTATACATATATATATATATGTATATAGTAGCTATAGTTTTTTTGCGTATCATACACATATACACCAATAGTTAGGAGAGACTTTTCTCAAGCAACGAGCAGCGATTTCGTAAACGGGGGCACCCACTTTCTATCGATTCCCCATTTCCGGATATCCAGGCACAGGCAAATCTCAAATTCTCCACAATCTACACCAGATGAAGCCACAACTCATGTCACGTCCAACCCAAGTTAACCATTAAATCTATTTTTTATATAAGTTTATAATAGTTTATAAGCATCTAATTATATACTCCAATTTGAGCCATTAAACAAATACCACTATCCCTTATCTCATGAAATACGAATTGGCTAAACACGGGGAAACCCTACTGTGGGTTGTCACAATCCCCAATAAATTGGATATACTATACCCTCTGGTAAACTAACATAGCTATTGAAAATGGCCCAGTCGAAATACATAGTTGATTTACCTCTTGAAAATGGTGATTTTCCTGTTCGCTATGTTAGTTTGCCAGAGGGTAAGTGTCAAATCATTTACTCATCAACCAGGGTATAACTTTCATGGCCCAATGGATCCCCCCTCCAGGTGCTCCAACTTTTGAATCCGGGCCAGATCTGCGACCAGCAAGGAGCAGGCATTGTCCACCTTAGGATGTGACGTTGCAACTCTAGCCATGAAACATGGGAAACGATGGGAAACGTAGACGATTTAACCATGAAACATGGTGAAGATAGATATTTTTTTCACCATCCAACATGGTGAATTTCGTCATCAGAATCATGGTGAAAAGTTATGGGATTTGACCAATGAACAATTGAGGCTTAGTGGGTCAGTCCGGAAATGAGCTATGAATTTCTCAAACATGGCCATTCATAAGGGTAAATATGGATAAATATGGGTACTGTAAATGATTCTCCAGCAAATTTTGAAATAGCCTCTCTTCAGAGAATGCCATGTGGGCTGCAAGGAAAGTTGCTAGGAATTGTGCTAATTCATCGTCCAAAACAACAGTTGCTTGCAACAGATAGAGATTGGCTACATCCAAACCTCTCCTGCACTCTTGCTGTGGTGAAAGTAGGTGAAACAAACATCGTTCGATGACTTCCAAGGAGGTTCCAAGTGGGGTGGGCCAAGGACCAGCAAATTTCACTACCCCTTGAACTAGTGTGTATATATATATATATGTTATATATTTATATATATCATACATGTTTGAATTCAATTCCAAATAGAAATAAACAAAATACATCTACACAGAATTCAGAAAGACAAATATATATATATATATGCAAGAGGTCTCCGTTTTTGTTGGTGCAATGTGTTGATGAAACCTCCGCCGAGGTCTACCCAGCTGGGTTCTCCTGGCGCATTGGCAAGAGCCCGCAATCTGCGTGCGGAGGTTTCACCCATCAAAATGCAGGATCTGACCATCAAAAAGCTTGGGATCTGACCATCAAATCTTGGGACTGGTTGGTGGTTGAGCCCTACCATACCTACTCCTCTGAAAAATGATGTTGCGTGAGTGAAAGTCAGTTGGGATGATTTTCCATTCCCAATATTGAATGGAAAAATAATCCAAATGTTCCAGTCACCGCCAACCAGTATGTATGATTATATGGAATTTATCGGAACATCTAGTCGTCCGGTGTTTTTTTTTTAAATTTAAGAAATTGAGCCCCGGAGGAGACGGGCAGGTTGAACAAAAAATGTCGCCTGCCGGCCTTGATGAGGGTGCTTTACCATCTGGTTATTTGTTACATAGCCATGGAAAGATCCACCATTTGTAATAGGTAAACCATCGAACTAAATGGGCCATTTTCCATGGCTATGTTAAATAACCAGAGGGTAAGTGAAATCTACAAAAAACCATGGCTTTCCCTTGAATGAAGCTGTTTCCAAAAAGCTCCTTTTATCCAACTGCAGGACTAAGGGGATTTTGAGGGTTCCGTTCTAAAAACCCAAATTGATAGCCTCTTAATTCAACAGTTTGCAATGGAAAATCATCTTTAAGAGCTTAATACCATGGTAATAGCATGTAATAGCATGGTAAACCATCTATAAATATGCAATGTTCATCCATTTTTCATAGCAAACTGTTAAATTACCAGAGTCTATCCATCAACAGGTTCGCAGCCCCCCCCGCCCGTTGGGCCTCCACTAACTTCTCTTCAAGACCCAAATCGGAGAGTTGCACGCGAGCTCCAGTGCCTGAGATCAAGGTTAGTATAACTCTTATATTGATAAACCCATCAACCAGGGATGAGCAGGGTATAACTTCTTCATGGCTCATATGTAATTCATACATAGATATATCATATATGTCCATGCCTATTGAACCGTACACAGAATACATGTGTGTCTAGTATGTGTAGTATTTATATATATATAATTATATATATATGATACATATGTGCTGAGAAGTCGGGGGTTGGACATTCCAAGCATAAGTAGATCGTGACGTCTTGGGCTTCTCTCTGCATCTACCCTCGGAGGTGAAAGTTCTGGGAAACCTCTGAATTTGCAGTGCTTGGACATGGATCCGAACATGTCAAAAGCTTATCGGAAACTACCCGAAAAAAATGGATCCAAATGGCTGGTACAAAATGAGGATCTCCATTTCATTCATTCTAATCATCCCCAATTTTTGTTGGGTACCCATAATATCCTAAACATCAACCAATTAAGGCTAGCCTTGAAACCGCACACACGTCTGATTCCGAGATTTTCATGCAAAAAACCACCTACGACCTATACCTCAATCTATTCAGAAATGCGGGGTCCGGTACTATTTAAATGTGGAATAGTACAATTATAAACCATTGTTAACCATTAACCATAGTTAATTGTTGGTTAAAACCACCAACCAGTCATGTCATAGCTCTAGAAAAGATGATGAAAATCCTGGAATAGTGACTATTTTGTTGCTTAAACCCAAATCACATTGTCCCCATGTCCCTCAATTTTCTGACCAACAACAGGTGATTAATGGTGATTATGTACAAGAGCATACACAAACCTCGAAACCTGCTGGAAAATATGCATATCATCCATAAAACTCATGTGTTGTGGTAAGCCCACAATCTTTGGACAGAGCCAACTTAAATGTTCATTGATGAGACCGTTTTTTTTGACGGGACAATTCCAATTCTAGTTAGTTAATTATGCTCATTGCATCATTTTTCACAATGTTGGATTCCTACAGTAATTTCCACCATTTTGAACCCCATGTTGTTGCTTAAACTCATCATATGCACAATCTTCATGGTCCCATTACCGTTATGTTAACTCCCAAATTCGACGAATCACTTGGATCATCTCACTGGGTAGATGTAATAAGTACACTAAGTACACCCCCATTCAAAAAAGATATCATACATAGATCCATATAATTCTCTATATATACATATTAAACATTTAGTCTCATTCCCTAATAAGTACACCCCGTTCAATATAGTCATAGTATGTCATAGTTCAAATTATATCTGCTTGGTGGTATACCTACCCCTCTGAAAAATATGAGTTCGTCAATTGGGATGATGACATTCCCAATATATCACACAATTTTCAAACATGTTCCAAACCACCAACCAGTGTATAGATCTATAAAGTCCATATGAAGATATATTAAGTCCCACTAACCCATATTAAGTCCAGTCATCTTCCAGTCACCAACCAGATCGCCAAGTTGCGACTCTGCAACTCCTTGCGTGCCAATGGGATTCCCATTTGGAGATGGGAATCCCACCCAACCGGGCGACGGAAAAAACGCCTCTTTTGTTTTCACAGAACTGGAAAAATCACATGGTTTAACTACGTTTATCATCTATACCCTCTGGTAATTTGTCACATAGCTATTGAAAATGGCTAGAAATAGTTGATTTTCCCGTTAAAAATGGTGGATCTTTCCAGTTCGCGAACTGTAAACGTTTACCAGGCCGGGTCAATGGGATTCTCATCTATAAATGGGACCCAAATCTCCATGTCTATCATCTACAAACATCTATAAACTATGGGCCGTAGCAGCTAGCCGTAGCTTTATGAGTTGATGTACCTGTAGCTTTTGTGTGAGCCATTGTGAGCCTTAAAAAAGGCTCACAACTTGACATCATTGACTCATTGACCAATCTTAGGATACCCTGCATTCCCATTGAATCAATGCCTTGATGCCTTGATTGGGAAACTCTTCACGATTAAATTAGACTGTGGTTAAAATACAATGTTGTCCACGAAAAAAAATAGGGGGGTTCCTTCACAAGATTTCCCATCTAATCCGAGGATAATTTACTTTTTGAGTTGCTTGGTATACTCCTCCATGTATAGCAAACTAAAAATCATCATAAAGACACCTACAAAAGACCAGTCTTACCCAGTCGATTTCCCATCTCCAGGTGTACCCCAAAATCCAGTCGAACAATACCATATCCAGGTATCCTAGATATGGAGAAATCCAAACGGGGATGGGTCAAAGCCCAATCACCTTGGTTTTTCACATTAACACAACTTGGGTTTTTCAGGATTTTTCATCTCTCCAATCATGGCATACTGTGTTAAAGTCTGTTATAAACCCAATAATATATCATAAACAATTTCAGTAACTAACCAAACATCGAAGGGGACCATTTTACATCATTGCAGCAGGGACATATCCAACTTCGGGTGCGATTTTTTATAGGATGCTTCAATTATATTGGTTACCCTCTGGTTATGACTGACATAGCCATGGTATAGATGGCCCGCTTAGTTCGATGGTTTACCGTTCTTAAAAATGGGTGGATCTTTCCATGGCGAACTGTTAGTCATAACCAGATGGTAAATCCCTATGGAAGCCGTTGCCAAAATCCAAGTTGACCGGACAAGTAGGCTACAAATCCCATAAAATGGGTATCTGAAAATAGTGTCATTACTCCACTCTGTTTTGTATCATCATGTTCCCTGATGAAATTGACACTTTCGTGGGAAAATCATCTGAATGCCCCATTGAAATCCCATAAAAATCACGAAAATCACCTTGGCAAGGCAACCAGAAATATGGAAGAAATCTTGCACCAGTTGCTATATGCTTTACCCCCGTTCTAATCCCATTCTTTACAGTGTTTCATAGTTAACGGTTGCCAACTGCTCAATGGCCATTTCAGGAACCTAAATTGGAGCTACCTACCATATATCAGGCCTTTTTTTAGGCCTAGATGTCAGGCAATATCCCAACAAAATATGGCCAAAAATATGGTACTATACTAACGTACCTCCATTTCTGGTTGGTGGTTGAGCCACCCCTCTGAAAAATGATGGAGTTCGTCAGTTGGGATGATTTTCCATTCCCAATTAATATGGAAAGTCATAAAAGCCATGTTCCAAACCACCAACCAGTGATTATTAACCATTATTAACCATCATTAACCAGCATTAACCATCATTATCCCATACTAAACCAATGTTCCAAACCACCAACCAGTGTATAGATCTATATTAAGTCCATATTGGGATATATTATAAGTCCCATTAACCATCATTAACCCATATTAAGTCCCTACAACGTTGATGGTTTAAATGGTTGGATCCCTTTGTTATTCCCATAGAAAACTGGTGGTCCTGCACATTGGCGCCCTTCTTGCCGATGAGGCGACCGGCAAAGTTTTCGGGCACCACCAGAAAAAGCAGGTTGCTACCTGCCACCGAAGGCGCGGTCTGGGGTGATTTTGTTGATAGTTGGATCTTACTTGGTGGCGAACTACCCACGAATCGTGGTTGTGGCTTAGTTCACCCCAATTACAAGTGGATTAACCCTACAAAAATCCCATTTATAACTGGGGTTATAACCCACTTACTACCCCCAAACGATAGCTAAGTTGGTTTATAACTCCCATTTCACTATGGTTTATGGTACTTATAACTATATAGTTAATGGGGTGAATCTAAACCAACTTATAACTGGGGGGCACCATCCTGTAGACTTGTAGATGATAATTACATAGATTCAGGTTTGGTTGATGTTGATAAATGGGATCTTATAGATGATAATTACATATATATAATCCCATAGGATCCATGGTGCTGGAATATTTACCTACATTGACCCCTAAAGTAATTTTCCAAATAATCCCAATCTAGGTAAATATTCCATACGTGGATCCTTAGGGAATGTATATCTAATATATCATATAATTACCCCATATTTCCCCATTCAAAGTTGGGATTTTGCCGGGAGTATGGATAGCTCCGTCATGCTCCGTCATGGTCCATGCACTAGAAACCCTCCTTTTTGGGAGGTGTACTGTGAACATATATGAATATGTATAAATATATATATATAATATATATAATATATATATATATATATATAGATTCATAATATAGTTCAAAGTACAGCACTATGTTGAGCAATGTTGCTACCTATTGATGGATGATCTGGAATGATCTGGGATCCCCACCGGTGGCACCTGTGTTCGCAGCTGCTTTGGATGCGGCAGTTCTCACATGCTCAGCTGCAAACATGTGGATGAGATGCTCTGACTGGGATTCTGACTGGATTCTGGATGTGGATAGATGTGGATGCTGTGGCAGGTGCTTGGAAGCTCAAATTTCACAGGGCATTTACCCTCTGGTAATTTAACATAGCTATTGAACATGGCCATTTATAGTGGATTTTCCCATTGAAAATGGTGATTTTCCATAGTAAAATGTTAGCTGTTAGTTTACCAGAGGGTAACGGTATACTGGTCATTTAAGACTTAGCTATGAAAGCCATGGAAACCATGGCCCATGTCGTTGACGGGATCATCCCCTTGGAATGTTCTAGTGCTGCCTCCAAACACACTGGGATTCTGTTGTTTCAATTGCTCCTAAAAAGTTACTCAGGTCAATTTTAAATGCCTCAAGAATTCCTCATACGGAGGTTCTCAGTTTCTCCATCTCAGAATTTGTCATTTCTTCAGCATCTTCCTGGTTCAGCTGAGCTCTGCACAGCTGTTTGGAAAAACAAGAGGAATCGACCGAATCTTCGATTAGGACGTGAAACGCTATTCCGCTCACGGTGATATTTTTTTGGGGGGTTCTCGAAAAAAAAATGGGAGATACATTCTGAGACATGCTGAGATACTCCATCTTCTGGCAAATTGAATTAGAGAACATTCTGAAAGGATCCATGGTGCTGGAATATTTACCTACATTGACCCCTAAAGTAATTTTCCAAATAATCCCAATCTTGGTTTACATTTCCAGCATCATGGATCCTTAGGGATTCTGAAATCAGTCCTATCATCCGATTGAGATTTTTGGGGCTAAAAACCCATCCACCACCGAAAAACAAAAACAGCGGAATCCAGGAGAACCGTCAAGGAGAACATCTGATTTATAGCTGTCCGGTAAAAAAGCAGACCATGTTTACCAGAAAATATGGGAAAATACTGGAACATATATAGAATATTATAGCATCTATATGGAAATACTGGAAACGTCACATCTGATAGTATGTCAATTTTCCATAGATTCTATCTACTGATGTTATGCCCAAAAATGGGAGCTTGATCACAAAAAAGTGGGACCATGTTTACCAAAAAAATATGATCCACCGTGTCACGTACTGGGGCATCCTGGATCCATTTAAGTGCCAGGTCCATTGGCTGATATTGGTTGCATCAGCTAAGCGCTGCCCCATTTTTCAGAACGTCTTGCTGCAGGCTTTGATTTGGCCCACTGAAACTCATGCACGCAAGAAGCGCGGTCAACAATGTCAACAGACTGCATGAAACACTGGGGAGATATAAACAATGGAGCAAATATGATCAACAAATAGAATTTTCTCACAAAACGGAAAGGTCCAATGTGACAATAAGTGACAATGTGGTTCAAGACAATAGAATAGATTCAAAACACAAGTCATGAAAATGACTGTCATACCGCCATCTCTCTTGCGCAGTGAGAACGGTGAAACTCTGGTGTCCGGCAGCATGTGATAGGTTTGACCAATTTAAGAGGTAGATTTCGAACTGATCAGCTGGTCGTGAAACGACCAATAGGCGACTGCTTGGATTTATCCCACTTCAGAAAGATAAGAAAGGAAACTGAGTGTGAAACCATGAGCCAAATGATGCCAAATGTGATTGGTTCATGTCATGAAACTTTGCCAAACATCTGGTGGCACCCCAAAAAACGTCCACAAAAGATGGTGGAACTGGCCAGGCGCTACAAGGTCTACAAGTGCTGCCCTGATCTGGCCGATTGAACATCGAAAATCCGAGTGAACATCTACCATCTGGCTATGACTAACAGTTTGCCATGGAAAATCCCAACCATAAATATGGAGCTTTCGTTCGCTGGGAAACCATCTATTTCGATTAGGGCCATCTATACCATGGCTATGTTCAATAATCAGAGGGTACAGTAAACCTCCATTTTCCTATGGTTTTCCTATGGTTTTCCCATGGTTTTTGTTGGTTAAACCATGACATTCCGAAAACGGCACGAGATGCTCCCGGGGTGCAGCATTGGCACGAGAGTCGACGCGAGTCGCGACGCGTATCACAATTCGAAAAAGTTCCACACGATCACGCAGCCATCCTGCCCCGGATTTTTTGGGACGCTGAGCAAACCTTCTGCCTTTATTGGACCAAGTGACATCTCTCATGGTCACTTAAAGGGTCAAACACCAAAAAAAATATAACAAATTAGATGCAATCCGGTCAAAGTGCCATGTGTTCTAAACAAAAAACGTATCTTCTTCTTTTAACTGGATGTTTCAACCGCTCGTGTGAACTCATCGCCAAAAGCAATCAACATTTTATCATCCGTTTTGGGATGGTTTTTTGTGATAGTTCTTCTGTAACATCAACATATCAACATATATATCAACATACATCAACATATATCAACATAGATCAACATATCCCCGTTGCTTCATGGCTATTCAGAATTCACATTAATTATTCATCCCCTATCCGGGCATAGCGGCATAGCCCGTTGCTTGGGGATATGTTGGATTGTTTCCTGGCACTTTCCATCTCATCATGGGAATCCATCGCTATGTACAGACATGGCTTTACCCTCTGGTTTGTTAACACTTTGCGAACTGGAACATCACCATTCCCATAGGATCCATGTATGGAATATTTGCCTACATTGACCCCTAAAGTAATTTAAAATAATCCCAATGTAGGTAAATATTCCATACATGGATCCTTAGGGATTAAAATAATCCAATAAATCAACTATCATAGTTGAAATATGTTGAAATAGTTGACACATGTTGACATTTTTTGAAAAAAAACTACATGTTTTATTGTACCAGAGGCTTTTCTCGATGACCATTCCCCATGCTTGGTGGCTCATCCCACGAATCGTGGTTGTGGGTTCGTTCACTCCAATTACCCTCTGGTAAACGTTTACATAACTATGGAAAATCACCATGTTTAATGGGAAAACTCACTATAAATGGCAATTTTCAATAGCAAACTCTAACAAATTACCAGAGGGTATAAGTGGATTAACCTTTATCCCATGTAAATCACTGGGGTTATAACCCACAGTTATAAGTTGGTTTATAATCCCCATTAACTATATATATATAATATATATATAACCCCCTAATCAACCCTAGTGAAAATGGACTTATGTTCACCAACTTAGCTAACGAACTGAGGCACCATCCTGATTAACTAATCACCATTGTAATCCATTATATATCCCATTATCCATTATAAACATCCCATTATCACCATGCAAATGTCTTCCCCAATAGTCATAATATGATACTTAAATGGTACCCTCCCAACTAAACAGCCTAGGGGTTTATGAATCCAGGGTTGACATTATAAACATTCCATCATTCCCATGAATCTCCCCATGAATCTCCCCATGGCTTCCCCGTCCTTCCCCGCGCTGATGAGTTGCTTCTGATCCGGACTCCAGCGAACCTGCGTGACACCACCTGGAGGTCGCGCCGTGTTGGTCAACGTGAACGGTTTTGCTACGGAAAACCACCATCTTGAATGGGAGAATCAGCTATAAATATCTATAAATCACCATTTTTAACGGGCAAAATCCACTGTAAACCACCATCTTTAAGAAGTAAATCAATTATTTCAATGGGCAATGTTCAATGGCTATGTAACAAACTACCAGAGGGTATGTGTTGGTTGATGTTGTAAAAGTGCGAGATGTTTCAAGCACTGTTGTCAAGCTGCAACTGTTGGCACCTTTTGCTGTTGCACGCACTCAATCTGTATGTTGTCAACAGGAGTTGACTCAAGGCCTTGAACCACAGGCCAGTGTTGATATGACATGTTGAATATGTACATTGACACGACCCCTCAGATGTTGGCTATGTTAGCCAGCAGATGTTGACTATATATTCTACATGGGTCTGTGTTCACTAAATGTTGCAACTAATGTTGAAACTATAAACATGTTGAAACTGAAACAGCATTTTGTTGACTACTCATGCATGAGTGTTGGTTCATCCTCTGTACAAATGCCGATGGCTTGGTTATCTTTATACACCTGTGGCAGCCGCAGGTGTTGGGCGAAAAAAACACTTGCTTAATTATGCGCACTTCAAGCTCTCATGTGTTGAGCGTCATGTTGCGCAGGGCTCTGTTGTTTTGGTGCTTCTGCACCGGGATGTTGTCTGAGCTCCACCCCTGTTGTGATCATTGTTGATCACTCTGCGTTGTTCTCTTCCATGTTGTCTTCCATGCCGGTTGGCTCACGATACTTGTTCACTTCATCGAAGTGCTGTTGGAGGTGCTCATCTGTTGATTGCTCCATCAGCCATAATGCCAGTGTTGAAGATCCCCTCAACCTCTCTGGTGTCTTCACACCAAAGTATTGGAATTGTTGTCCTCCTTCAAGGAGAGGATGCCACTTGTTGAGGATCATCCTGATTTTGGTCCTTGCTGCCTCTGGCAAGAATTCCAGTTGTTGAGTGCCACCGTACTGAATGGCTTGTTGAAGCATATAGATGAGATGTTGTGGGATCTCATCTCCAACTGTTGCCAAAATCACAGGAGTGTTGTAACTCCAAATGAAGTTGTTTGACCAGCTGAGCATGTTGAAGATGTCGAGGAACCCTTGTTCCCTGTTGAGTGCCCACAACTGTTGAGTGAGCAGTTCTGTTGACACAAAAATGGCTGCACAAAAAAAAGGTTGAATACACGACTGTTGTCAACAAACGGTGTTGACATCATCATGCGTCACAGGACATGTTGACCTTCACGTTGGGAAGGATCTTGTTGAAATAAGTCATCCTGCAAAAAAGGAAATCATGTTGACTAAGTCAATGATGTTGATGCTGATAGTCGAAATAAATCACCATGTTGGGATTCCAAAAAAGGTCTTGTTGAAATACTGGATGAAACGAAACAAGGGAGATGTTCATCAACGTTTGTTGATGACATCGGTCATGGCTCAAACGCGTCCGTGTGTGTGTGTGTCTGTGTGTGCATTGTTTGCTCACGCAGTTGTGCACGCGTGCGCATAGTGCATTAGCTGCCCGGGTG